GATGTTGAAATGCTAGGATTTGAGAATCCTGACAGATCTACATCAAGCGTTAACTTGGACTCACCCGTCGTGAATCACGACGGGGAAGGCTGTTGTTGTTTTAGCGTCCAGAATCAGCAGGTGGGGCTGGGGGCTGGCAACACTGGGCAAATAGACAGGTCCCATTCTGTCCCGCTCTGAACTTGAGACAGTTATCCACACCTTCATCTCCTCACGCTTAGACTACTGTAACTCTCTTTTCACGTGTCTGAGCAGAACCTCCCTGAACCGTCTACAGGTGGTTCAGAATGTCTGTGCTCGGCTTCTGACCAAGTCCTCCAAACACACCCACATCACCCCGCTTCTCCTCCAGCTTCACTGGCTGCCAGTCAACTTCAGGGTTCATTTCAAGATCCTGGTTCTGGTCTATAGGGCCTTACATGGACAAGCACCATCTTACACTGGTGATCTTCTTAGTCCCTACACCCCCAGCAGGTCCCTGAGGTCCAGTGATCAAAGCCTACTGGTTGTGCAGCACCAGGCTAAAGACTAAAGGTGACAGATCATTTGCTGCTGTGGCCCCCAGACTCTGGAACTCTCTCCCCCTGAGCCTGAGATCAGTGGACTCAGTGGTCTCCTTTAAAAAGCAGCTGAAAACTCACTTGTACAGGCTGGCTTTTGTATGACTTTCTGTTGAGTCTTCCTCACTACTAGTAGTAGTGGTAGACTTTATCAGTGTTGTGCCCGAACGTGTTCATTGAACGATCGTTCGTGAATTTGTTCGTTTTTTCCGTGAACGTGAACTGAACTCATTCGTATTTTGCCTGATGAACGTAAAAGTGAGTGCATTCGCCCTGCAGCTTTGTGTCATGGGCCAAACTGCAATCATTAAAAAAAGGGAAATCGCTACTGCTGTGTGGTCACGTGTGACTACAGGTTGCTGCTTTAGCCTCTGTTACGTGGAACAAGTCTGAGATGTCTCCTTCAAACTGAGCCACTGTGACACTTAATATGGTCTGATCATCTTCTCCTCTCTGACTCCCCTCATTAAACAGCTGCACTCTGTCTCTGGCTGCATGCTGTCGAGGAATATCACCTTACTGTCATAAAATCATACAAAATGATTAATTTCACAAAGTGCTTGATTTTGTTTAATTCAGAAAAATGATAAATATTCATATTTAATTCATCGTAGCTCATCCCTATCAGCGTGTGAATTTGTGAATGGTGTGTGATGGTGTTGTGAAGCGTCTTGAGGGGTTGTGAAACCCTAAGAAGGTGCTACACAAATACAGACCACTTACCATTTTACCATTTACTTGACTGAGGTGGTTACATAACAAAAGTATGCACACTGGGACTGACACAGAAAAATAGCATGTTTCTGATTTTATCCACCTGCAGACATCTCTTTTCTAACATGTTTCAGCTTCTGTTAAACAACATGTTTATGTTTTCATCAACTCAAATAACTCACAGCGTGATAGCCTTGGTAATATAGGTTTTAATTTACTGCAACGGCAAAACCAGCACCCTCCTTCTACACTGTAAGAAATGAAAGGTTGAATTTATTCAAACAAGTTGTGTCAACTGGTTTAAATAAACCTAGTTAAATGTAAAGAGTAATATATATTTTTTATGTTAAAAGTAAATTCATTTTTATCTCATAATAACGAGAAACTTTCTCGTTAAAACGTGATATCAATCTTGTTTTAATGTGATATATATCTCAAAGTTTCTTTAAATAAGGTGTTTCATAACTCCTAATAATGAGAAAGTTCTAAAGGGTGAAACAACGACATGTCGTGGGATGTATGAATCGCGTTCAGAAGAAACAAAGAAAGATAGTGTCAAAGAGACAAGAGCACCTGGCTGCAGACCTCCACTGTCAGGCTGCTTCCGGTGGAGGCTCCACTGTCAGGATGGGAAATGCACGGGATACATTACAAAATAAAACGGCAAACGTACTTATGCTTGTAATTGATAGGTTTCAATATAAAATATTACGTAAAATCTATCAATTATTTCTCTATAGTTCATATGTAGTTGTCATTTTACATATTTACGGTTGTAATTTTTCTAAATAAATTAACGAATGGCCGGGGTAGGTTTCAACATAAAAGGCTAACATACGCTAACATACTTCCGGTCGTCATATTTCTAAATAAAATCCCGAATGCTGTTTCGGTTGAATCGCTCCCCTCACAAACGCATTTATTTTTTAATATTACATAAAACCTATCAATTATTTCTCTATAGTTCACATATAGTTGTCATTTATTTGGTAAACCTTAGTTTAGTTTGTCATTTTTATTGTGTGTTTTCCTTTACTGCTGCACAACGTGGTAATTATGATATAATCTGTCATAATCTAAAACGTAATATTAAAACATTTATTTGTTTCTGAGGAGAGGGATTCAACCGAAACAGCAATAGGGATTTTATTTAGAAATATGATGACCGGAAGTATGTTAGCGTTTTATGTTGAAACCTACCCCGGCCATTTGTTAATTCATTTTGAAAAATTACAACCGTAAGTATGTTAAAGGACAATATGAACTACAGAGAAATAATTGATAGATTTGATGTGATATTTTTTATTGAAACCTATCAATTACAAGCGTATGTATGTTTGCTGTTTTCCGCAAGTACGTTTGCCGTTTTATTTTGTAATGTATCCCGTGCATTTCCCATCATGACCGGGGCGGTCGTCCTGACAGTGGAGCCTCCACCGGAAGCAGCTTGACAGTGGAGGTCTGCAGCCAGGTGCCTGTCACGATACGAGGATGGTTAGGACCCAAAATGCAGGTACCCAGGATGACATGCGGCAGGAGATGATATAAGAAAAATCCTTTTATTTGTTGGATGAGTCCAAAAATAAAAATAAATCCAAAAGATTTGGAAGCCAAAAATCCGATAAGTCCAAAATAAAAACTAGAGACAAAAACACTAGAGACTAGAGCAGACTGACAGAATACCACAATGGACCGACACCAAACAGAGACAAGACAGGGCTTAAATACACAGGGAGAACAATTAAGGAAACAGGAAGCAGGTGTGTGGAGTGAGGGCTGGAGGGAAGGCAGGTGACAACAATTAACTAAATGGGGAACAGAACCAGTGGAGGGCAAATAAACACAAAACTAAACAACAATTATCTAAAGACAGAGGGAAGGGCTCACACACACACATACATACACACACATACACACACTGACACACACGTAAACTCACACACACATACACACACTAACACACACACATATACTGAGCTGGGGGAACAAGAGGCTGGAGCTACAACTGGAGGGGACTGAGGATGACTAAATGAACACCGGACCTGAGGGAATGCTATGAAGGCCTACAAACAGAAGACACATAAATGAGATGCAAAGGACACATGGGGGCGCTATGAGACACAGAAGGGAATCTAGAGAGGGATGGAGAAACATCAGGAGACACATGAAGGAAGATGCAGACGCAGACCATGACAGTGCCTCTCCAAAGAGAGATTCTTATGTTTTTTTTAAGAGGCAGTAATAAGTCAGAAGAACATATTCCCTCACATTTTCACCAGCGCTCACGATTTTTTGTCCAAGCAAAATAGCGGTACTTCCGCTTTGTAGTTGAGGTGCAGCTTTCAAAGTAAAAGTTGACTTCCTGTTTGTACTTTTTCACATTTAAAATCTTTGAAACCTTTTCACATTCATGAACAATATGCATAAAATAAATGTCCTGATATTACACTAGCATGTTGTTATTTGCCTATAACTAAACACAACCTGTACTGTACTTCCTAAAAGTTTAACATCCAGAACTGGAATAGCTTCCTCGTTCATTCTGAGTGGAACCCTAAAACGTATAACCGCCATCTTACCGTTATAATCTTTCTCATTATTACAAGTTGATAAACGCGTTGTTTCGAGAAATGTTCTCATTAAAATGAGATTTATTCATCATGTTGAAACCACAAAGTATTTAATTTAAACAAGATTTATATCGCGTTAAAACGGGAAATGTTCTCGTTATACTGATCCTTTGTTATTTTCCCCGCACTGATATTAATACACTGTGGAAAGTAACAGAATCTTTCTGTTTCTCATCAGTTGCATGTTCCGATGCAAGCAAAGACTAGATGTCTAATGAAAATTTGCCAGGGTACAATGTGAAAAATAACAACTATCCATCCATCCATCTATTGTTTGAACCGGCTTTGTCCACGTAGGGTCGCGGGGGACTGGTGCCTATCTCCAGTGGTCAATGGACAATCAGGCGGGGTACACCCTGGACAGAGAGCCAGTCCATCGCAGAAAATAACAACTAATAATTAATAATAATCAATTACAAATCAGGTTTTTAATATATTTAAACAAAGACATGTGTGCACAACACTGGTTAACAACCATTGTGATTCATTATGTGAAAACATTAAAGTCCATTATGATGATGTATAAATGAACTAAAGTATTCCTAGAGAGAGCCAAGTCTCTGTGCAGAATAGAACATCTAAATGTTAAAAATCAGAACCAAAACCTGAATCCTGCTGCAACCACGGATTTCTGAGCAGAGCTTTAAACCAGGCTTTCCAGTAGTTGATTTATTACAGTCTGAAATTTTCAGAAAGTGTGGCTGAAAGTTGCTTAAACTTGTCCCTAGTCATTTGTCATAAGTGTCACAGACGGCTTAATGTTCATTAGTTTAATTAAAGCACATACATTCAGGCTGTAAAAGTCTTCGTCAGTGAAAACTATGTAAATTGCAGTAAATAATTCAAAGAACAGTATCATTTTACTTGAGGTAAACTTTCTCGGTTGCCATGGTGAGAATGCATGTATTATGTACTCAGTGCAACTGGAAAGCAGCTTACAGTCATTTTTAGATCACTTCACACAGCGAGGATTAACGCTGCTGGTAATCCACGGAAATCCGTACGGTGTGTCTGAGCCGCACACTTCACCTCCGAATGAGAGGGAAGGAGCTGGACTACTTTGTCCTGGGTCATGTAATGTGGCAGAAGATCTGCAATGGAGGGGACGGTGGTGACGGCAGGGCAGGAGAAGCCACAGAAGCGGGTGAGGTTCCGGGTGGCTTCAGGGAACAGCGGCCGGGTTCTGAAAGAGATGTTCAAAGATGAGGGGCCTTCAGACTCCCTGGATTCAGACTGCACCAGCAGCTCAGACGCAGAGCGAGCCAGCACCCCATCCACAACAGGAGAAGTCCACGGACACCTGTACGGATTCCTGGGCTCTGAGCTGGACGACAGCGAGAGTGAGCCCGATGAACTGCTGGTATACGCGGGGGGCACCAAGGACTGGATGTTCACCACCAAGAGAGTCAACATCCTGAGTAAAAACGGGACAGTCAGAGGGGTAAAACACAAAGTCAGTGCGGGTCAGACGCTGTTTGAAAACCTTCCTAATGCTGTAAGTACCCAGTTTTGGGCTTAAGCCATTGTCCGTAATCCCATTATTGCGTGACTGGTTTCAGGACTAATTCTCATCAATGCCAAGTCTAGTTACAGACAGAAACTACCAGCAGGTGTGTAATGAGAACAGCTGCCATGACAGAGGTCACAGGACAATTAAAGATTAATGATGCATTTCATTACGTGTTTCAGGAGAAACTAATCAGGTGAATGAATTCAACATTGCTTTCTAGTGTAGCTGCACTGACACTTACTTCTCCTTCTGATGGAACGATGATAAACTCTGCCAAAAAGCTCAGCACATCTTGGGTAGTTATTTTAATTTGGAGATTATCAGATAGATTAAAAAAAAAGCTGTATGCTTTATGAGTAAAAGTTATCCAGATTTTTGTAATTGTGTGTTTTTAATGGATTAGGATCAACTGGAAGATGTATGAATATAAACATCAACATGTATAACAAACAGGAAAACACATCTCCAACAGAAAGTAGCAATAAATCAAACATAATTTAAAATGTATTGTTCAGTTGTGTTTAATCATTAAAAAATGAAACCAGTTTGTGAGTCAATCTGAGAAAAAGGGTAGCTAAAGAAAGCTTAAATAATTGTTAAAAAACACGTAGATTTTACCAGTGGCGGTTCTACATCGAATTACTCCCCGGGCGAGGCCCCCTTTGAGCGCCCCCCCCCCCCCCACCACCACCACCACCACCACCCCACCTGCATGAACACACGCATGTTTTCTACAAACAGGCATGTTTTCTTAGAACAACTATTGAACATTAATTTTTCTAAGTTGCACATATTTACATTAATTACTATGAAGTTGTCAGAATGTAAATCACTATACATTATATACTGTATCAAAATATATAGAATCAACTATACAAAAACAAACAATAACTAAATATTAAGAATATATGAACATAATAGATAATAAATATTCTAAATAGCAAAAATATTTCACACATAACAAACTAAAGATAATCACTACAGCATTGCACTTAGAATAGAAAACACAAACTAAAATTAAAACCTAACCTTGATGCAACATCATCAATAATGTCATCACATGAAATCTGCTCCCCTACTGAGTGATTGATACTAATCAGAGCCAGGTTAGTGAGCCGCCCCTGAAACATAGGTGACCTCAGGCATGACTTGATCAAGTTTTGAAAAGCTCCTCTCAGCTTGAGCCACAGTGACTGGCAGAGCAGTCCAAAAGTTGGGGTAGATCTCCAATAGAGCTCATGATCCATAATATTTTAGAATTGCCTCTGAAATTGTAATTTAAACTGACATAAAAAACTGTAGATTACCAAAAATGCCAACTTTTACAGAACAAATCATGTAAAAAATAATCAGTGCAGCCATCTGCAATAAATAAACAGGATAGTTAGTGGTGACTGGGGTGTTTTCTTCAGCTTGTAGAATTGTTTTATTTATTATTATGTGAACATGATCAACATGTGTTTGTTGTTGTTCAGGCAGGCCACGGGCTGCAGTGAGCATTTAACAAATCCTAGTTTGAATCAGTAAAAAACGATTCAAGGACTTTTTTCAAACCATTTGAATATTTGTTTCAATATTTCAGCCCTATTAGCTCTGTTAGCAATTAGTTGACCGCATTTAACCGTTAAAATCCCAGTTAACTGGTTCAAATAATTGAAAACGCATCATGAGAGCTACATACCTTTATCTTTCTCCTCTTTTTTCTTTTTTTCCCCCTGAATGGGGCACCTGGTGGTTTTAGCTTTTTTATGTTCATCTCTTCTGTTTGGCTCTTGACTCAATAAGTTTCCTTTAGTCAGGACTAAACAATTTGACCTTGATGGGGGGGTGACCACAAAATCATTTTGTTTTTCCTTTTTTTATTCGGCCATTTCACACAATTCAGAGAAACCTGAAAGAATGATAAGCCTGTGTTTATGATATTATGAATGAAATATGGAAGAACGTTAAGATGTGATTGACTTTAGCCATCTTAATACAGTTGATTCAGCCCCTACCCGCTCATTTATTTGGGAAAGACGCAGAGGTGAATTCCCCCGCCGCACCCCTCCCCTTCCTGTTCTTCATAGACACACGGTGCACGTGAACGTTCAGCGCCTGCAGCTGCAGGGGGCGCCAACTTGCTGTTTCCAATCCAGACACTGTCATATGACAGATAATAGAAAACCTCGGTGCGGCGCAGATTTCCTGTTTTTTTTTTTTTTTTTTTTTACTCCGCGCTTGTGCGCCCCTTTTGTGTCTTGAAAAAATGCCGCCCCGGGCAACTGCCCTGTCTGCCCGTGCCTAAAACCGCTACTGGATTTTACTGTAAAACGCTGGCAGCTGGGGTACCATAAAATTAAGGGCAAAACATTTTTTCCTTTTACAGAAAGAAGGTATTTTTATTGTTTTTACAGCTAAAATGGTACTGAAGTAAGTATTTTACTGTTGAAGAAAATGTTTTTACTTGAAAAAAAAACATTGTTTTACCGTAAAATGAACATGACAATCTATCAAATAAAATTTGTGCCACTGACAACATTTATTCCCACTATAAACAATATTCAAAGGGTTTTCCTCATTACATGCAATCAACTCAGAATGAAATAACCAATTAACTGCCATTAAGGTCAGAACTGGTGATAAAGCTTTGCCTATTTAACTGTTGTTCACATCTTTCAGCTGTACTTCCGTGTAGCAGTCCCGAGCATTGAGTCAGTAATGACATCAGTATTGAACAGCAGCAGAGCCTTCACGTGCATTCACGAGTCAGGTCAAAAACCGACACTTCCCTCTGAATAATGGTTCAGCCAGACCTCACTTAGATGCCGCCAAGCACGCTGGGAAACAGGAAGTAAATGCCTTACACCATTGTCAACAGTAAAAAGCTGTATGTTTTTCAATAAATAATGTAAAAATCATTGTGCTTTACTGTTATAAACTTTAAGGAAAATTTCCATTAAAAAGATGATGCAAGAGTGCTTTACAGTAGGATTATGTATTTTTTACAAAGAAAAAAAAATGTACAAATGAATGTTTTCACCAATTAATTTAAATGTGGCATCTCCACGTAAAATCAACAGTTTTAGATAGTTTTATAGTTGGGGTTTTCCTGTCATGGTTTTATGGTTTATTACTGTTAGATATACAGCTATTTTTACAGTGATAATCTGTGTTTCAACCAAACATCAAACTGTTCAGAAAATAGAAAATGTATCATTTTTCAGACCTTTTCAAGCAGGTTTCAGTGGAAAGCTAGTTTCTTACCTGTGGTGAATAGATCATTGAACAACCTCACTTTAGAGAAGCATAGAGTAGTTCTGATCTAACCATTGATGGACAAACTCCGCACACCATCACATTTCTGAAGAGCTGAATTTAAGCACAGTTAGCAGGTCCCACCACCACAATCATGGCCGCATCTCGTGTCTCGTCATTCTAAACTCTGAGCCGATGTAGCTATGAGCTAACTGAGCTAACCGAAGCTAACAGAGTCTAGCAGGCACGTTTAGCTAGAAAGCAGTAGTTGAGCAACTCTGTTACCATCTGCCTTTTAAGGTGTAACATTTTTAACGTGAGGCAGAGGCTGAGGCCTTCCCTCAAGCAAGTAGAGGGACACACTGCTAGTGCTGATGCTACCTGTCAATCAAAAGGAAACACCCAATTATTCATCATTTAAATCTTGAATTACACCTAAATGGATGAGTAACAAAAAAATATCTTCGTCAGAGTTGTCAGGTCATGTAAACTAGTCTTACCCTAAAATTATACCAGGCTGTAAACATGTTGATTTATATGTGAAGTTGGCATTTTTAAATGTGGGAGTCAATAGGAACTAGCTGCTTTCTGTATCCAGCCCCTAGTGGATGTGGGAGGAGCTGCAATTTTTGTCACTTCCTTATAGATTTCCCTTTTAGTAGGTGGAAATGTGTCCCCAGGGTCTAAGGTTAGAAACTTACCAGTCACAATGTGGCCAGTTGTGACAACTTAAAATAGTTTTAATACTAAAAATGTTATTATTATCTAACTTTTACGCTATCAAAAAAGATTTTCATTGCATGATTATTGTATCAAAATTATGAAATATAACTAACTACAAAACCCTATAAAAACATGTAATATTGATTCTGGGAGGTGTTAAAGTTCATAAAATAATGATGGACTGCTGTGATTTCTCTTTAGAACATATTGTTTTGAGACAACAGAAACACTTTATAAACCAGCCTCACTTGGATTAGGTTATTCTGGACAAAACACGGGCACTGACACAAACAAAAGTAGATTCAGCTAAGTGCTGGGATATGCCACAAACTAAATCCAACACATTCACTACCAGATATGAAGTGTGCTGCAGGTTAGCTTCAGTGCAGCTCTCTAAGCATCCTGATGGAAGGTTCTGAAGTTTGATGTGACATGTAGAGCATTAAAGAGCCCTCTTCTCTAGAGCTTCACACAGTTCTTATGGGATTTGATTTTTTCATATTGAGTATTTTTCTAGTGAAGCCAGTGAAATAAACCTTCCTGGGAGAAGGTCAAATCTGCATAGCATTTGAATGCTGACTGTAGACAATAGCAATAGTAAATTGGATAATACCTTTTAAGGTAGCAAGGTCATTTTTGTTATGCTTTTGTTTGTGGAGAATTTTTGGCCCAAAAGTATTTTCCAATCTCCTAAAATTCCACTGAAATCATTTGAGCACCATTAGTAAAAGTTAGCATTTCATTTCATTTTTAAATTCAGTCAGCGCTGTTACACAATTTAGACATGATCAGATCAGGTTGCCATGGTGACAATGATACACTGGATCTTGTACTTCTGTTTCCAAAACAAAACAATCTATTATACATGTATATGAAGCCTATGTTAAAACAGTTATTCTGCAAGACTATATTTTAATAGTTAACCTAAACATTTAGTTTAAAGAGAGTCAGGGTAACTTACATATAAAATTTTCCAGGTAGCCTTTTTCTTTTAAATGGGACAAGTATGATGTCACACATGGTGAAATCACCATAGAACCACCTCTCTGCTGCTGGTGGTGGAGCAGCGGCTCTACTCTCAGCGCCTCCTGGATATCAGGGCTCCTCAGCCCATCCCACCCCCCTGTGGGTGGATGTGGCCAGCAATAGCTTGTTTTCTTAAAGTGGCAGAGGCCTGAAACAACTCATTCTGGAAAGTACTGAAACAGCCAAGAATAAAACTGCTGACATAGACATATGTGAGACTGACTTTGTGCAAAGAACCTCATACACATGTGCAGTATTGACCATAGAACTATTATAACTTGAGAAAATATGCATTACAAGGTCCCCTTAATCAATGTTTTCTTTTATTTTCAAAAAAGGTAAAAAAAATATATATATTTTTGCCACCTAGGTGTTTCTATCAAAGCACATTTTGATGTTGAATTTTCATTAGGTGGACATAAAATCTAAAATTCATTAATGAAGTGGAAGATTCACAGTGTCGTCATTCTGCAGCTACTGATAATGAGTTGCTGCCAGTTGTGCTGATGCTCAGGTGCTGTTGCTTCTCCCGCAGATGGGGTTGTCACTCGAGTTTGGGCGTATTGTGATCTACACCACGAGTTTCCGTGTGGTGAGGACGACATTCGAGCGCTGTGAACTGGTGAGGAAGATTTTCCAGAACCACAGGGTGAGGTTTGTAGAGAAGAACATTGCCCTGGACAGCGAGTACGGGAAGGAGCTGGAGCAGCGGTGCAAATGTGTGGGTGAACCTCCCTCACTGCCAGTTGTGTTCATTGATGGACACTACCTTGGGGTCAGTCCCACTTACTGTATGCACACACACACACACACACACACACACACACACACACACACACACACACACACACACACACACACACACACACACACACACACACACACATATATATATACATATACCTGTTGCTGTCTTGCATGTTTTCACTTATGGTAGTTTGGACATTGTGCTTGTTTTGCAGGGTGCTGAGAAAATACTTGGCATGAATGAATCAGGAGAGCTGCAAGATCTTCTGACAAAAATCGAGGTTGGTTTTTCCCAGCTTTGGAAATGACTATGAATTATTGATTTGGTTAAACAACCTCCTAGTCTGACCTACACACACGATAAACTCTTTGAATGTTTTATTTTAGAGCTACTAGATGACATTGTTCTGCACATATTAGAAACCTCACAGTGGTTGTTATCATGTATAATTAACTACTTTCATCTGCCCAAAGCTACTGAGATGAAGTAGCTGAAAACAGGAGCGGTCACTTCCTCTTACTAGTCATGCCATCAATAAAACTGGAGCAAACTGTAATGTAAAAATGCATCAATAACTACTCTGTGTTGATTTGTGTGTGCAAACGTGGCTTGAAGGTGCAAAATGCATTTTTAAAAGCTGTTTTTGTTCCACTGAGCTGTACCAGCTCCAGTCACATTTAAACAAACTTTTTCTAGGTTTATTTTTATTCAGAACACCGACAAAAAGAATAAAATTTACCAGGCTGCATAGTGACATTTAAATTCATACGGTTTAGTTACTGCAGGCAGTTAAAAAGTGTGCCACTCCGAAAGGTTGTGCATACTTAAATCGGTCTAGATCAGTCCGCTGATACAGTGTGAATGTCTGTCAAAAAGCCTGCATTCAAAATGTTTACAATATTTAACATAAGTTATTTCTAATCAATTGCTTGACATACTGGGATATTAGGTTTTTTGTTCCAGACTTACATTTTTATCAGAAAATGACTTTAGTCAGAAGCAAAATTATTCAGAATTTAAGACTTAACAACTTAACTCATGTTATACATGACTTTGTTGACATACCTAAAATACAAAAGGGACAGATTTGTATATATGCAAAAGCTATTTCTGAATCTCAAGTACCTTTAATCTCATTTTTATTGAACATTTTCTATCATGTGACAGTGTTTTAAAGTCTAGGATAACTCAATTTAATAAATCTATTGTTATGCAGTTTTGTACTTTGTTATGCACATAATTACTCCCATGCTCCACTTTTCTATTAGCCTAGGAAGTCATATATGTAACTTTATAGTCTGACCACGCTCCATAGGCGGAGCTTGGTGATGGGTGAAATCTATGGTTGACTTTCAAACTATCTCTGCATGTAATTGGCAGCCCTAGGACCATTCAGAGCAATGAAGACGTTGTATTCATGTATGTATTCGTCAACGGGGCAGTCCGCCATACACTGTGAAGAAAATGAAGAAACGCATCCTTTTCAAAATAAATGGTTTAAGTACCTCTATCTGCTCATGTCTCAAAGAAAAGCCCAAGTCTTAATCATCAAGAGTTGATGCCAAAGCCGTTTCAAAAGAGCACCACTCCTGAGTCGACACCATCTTTGTAGTTTTTCTCTGTTGCAGCTCTGGTACTGAGCCTGCCCAACATCTCTCTACAAACAGAGATCACTGTGATTGGCTGGACCTAAAATTGTTCGGTACACTGGTAGACCTGGTAAGCCTACAATGAAGCGTGGCTAGACCAACCTGCAGAGTGAAATCATTTACTACTCCTACGGTCGGTCTAGGTTTGTTAATGCTGCCTTGTCCAAATCAGGTCCATGATGCAGCAAATCATGTTACTAATTTGTAGCCTATCTTTTTTTTTATTGATTTTAATGGTTTGCATGTCATAGCATTTTTGTTTCAAAATTTTATTTCACACACTTTATTTCTTGATTCAAATACAGGACTGGCAGAGGGTTTAGCATGTCTCCAGTGGAGCCGTCCCAGATCATCCGCTGACCAGTGCTGGTCCTAAGCTTGGTGGTTGAGGACCATTTCATACATTAGGGAAGAAAAATGTTGCATGAACTAATTTCACAGTAGATTCTGGCCAAGTGTTCAGAAAGGTCACATTTGTCCCTGTTGCATCACTTTTCCTTTGCAGTTCAGAATCTCATTAGACAAGTTGTTTATTGCTGAAAGCAACAATTTTCACCCAATCCAGGATTTCCACCAGCATGTCTACACAATAATCCTTTTATATGAGTGCGGGGTTGGGTTTAATTTGTATTTATGGAAAGCGGCCATTATTGTCATGAGTTCTCTGAAACTAAGATGGACAAGTATTATTTTAGGGGTTTCAAGCTAAACATGTTACCTGTTTGTTTCATTTTCAAATAGCACAAAATGAGTTTTTATTCAATGTACAGTTTTTAAAAAATGAAGAATAAAGTCTTGAGTTTGAAAAGTAGATATATGTTTAGTATAATTTAGTTAGTTTTTAAAAGTTGTTTGTTTTTTGCATCAATCTTTTTGTATGTAACATAAATAGAAAATTAAACTCTACCTTTTTTATTTTTAGAGGGTACAGCATCCCCATACGTGCCAGACCTGTGGAGGCTTTGCCTTTATCCCGTGCCCGATGTGCCATGGCAGCAAGATGTCTGTGTTTCGCAACTGCTTCACGGATTCCTTCAAAGCCCTCAAGTGCACTTCCTGCAATGAAAATGGGCTGCAGCCCTGTGCAAGTTGCAGTCAGTGAGGGCATTAAGTGCCTGGACCAAAACATCTCTCCCTCCTCTACAGGAGAACAGAAAAATGAGCTAGACTGCAGCTCAGGCAGGCAAATGCAGCTCGGCAGGAATCTCTATCCATGGCCATTGTAGTAAAGAAGATTGGAATTTCTAATAACATCTGCACACTTGTTGATTTGAGTATACTGATTTGTGATGAAATATTGCAAATTGTCCTTTTTCTTTGGAAATGTATCTTCTGCATTGCAGAAAGCAATATCTTTGTAAAAAGTTCATTGAAGGATTTTGTACCAGTTTACCCTCCGGGACACCTAAGCTTGTTAGTAAGGAGGCTTCTTAATCAATAATTCTCTCGTCACTAATCCCATATCAGACAGCCCGGGGTTAGGACACAGCAGACACTCAGGACAAACAGTGAAAGTCAAAGGGCTCCCTTTTCAGATAGCAAAAAACATCAAGCTGGAACTTTTACAGCAAGGTACAACAATTTATTCCAACTAAAGATTATATTACTAATGTACAAACACATAGGCTTGCAGGTACCATCATCAAAGCTTCTGATAATATTCCAAATATTCTGCATCTGGACAGCAGCTCCAGCTGAGCTCCAGATGTACAATTCTTGGTATGCCAGCAGGTAGCTTCTAATTTAGAGACAAAGTCAGTTCAAGGTTTACAATCATTAAATTACTTTGCATCTCATAAAAATAAAAAGTTGTTTCATAATTATTTTTGCAACTCTCACGTTACATGCATATGGAGGTTTTTGTTTTTGCAGAGCAGCCAATTATTCTTACTGGGATAAAAACACGACTTGGTCATAATTATGAGAAACTACATTATATTTAAAACTTTAAAGTTAAAATTCTATTTTATAATGATCATTGTACATTTGACTTGGCGTCTCATATTCATGATATATTAACTAATACCAGTCATTTTATATTTTATACTTACAAAAAGGCATCATTGCAACAAGACCAGACATAATCAGTGTTTATTTGAGCTGAAAAGTTATTGTTATGAGATACCATCATATCTCATAATAATAACCTAGTTTCTCAGTTACATTTTATTTTAAATAGTGCCTTAACACTAAGTATTTATCGTTTTTTTATAATTATTTCTAATTAATAATGATTAGGTTTGGTGATGTAATATGTTGCATCCTATAAATACAAACTACATGGATTGAACGCATGTGTTGTGCGTTTTTGTTCTTTGCTATGGAAAAAAATACAGCCACTCTTTTACTATCAACTATAAATAAACAAATCATGAAGCATTAATGTCTGATACTGCTCCAGTATTATGACTTCCTTTTGGTTAAGTGATGACTAAAAACAAAAATATTAAAGCACCCAAATGCTTTAACTCTTGAACTGAATGCCTTGAGTTATAATAGTTCTATCGTGTAATTTTTATAACGTTCTTTGCACTGAATCTCTCTCACATAATGCGATCTCAGCAGTTATATTCTTGACAATTTCAGTGCCTTCCAGAATGAGCCATTTCAAGGCCTTGTCACATTAAGAAAAAAGGTGATGCTGGACACGCCCTCCCACCCCCTGACTGGGTGCTATAAGCTGAGCATGTCCAGGAGGGGCTCAGAGTAGAGCCACTGCTCCTCTAATGTTGACAGGTGAGAAGTGGTTCTACTCTAAATTCCGTTTGTGACATCACAACTTTTTGAAATGGTTCATATTAGGCACATGATTTGTAAAAAATAAAAAATGTGATTTTTATCTTGAGAGGCGCTATTTAAAAGATTGTTTTCTTTCTTTATAACCAAACAGAAGAAGGATTGTTTTAACCAGATTGTGAGCATTTACAGAGGTCGTGAAATCCCACATGGCAGCACAAAAGGATGCAAAATGTGAGTTTTGCATAATATTGGAGAATGTACCCTTCAAGTGCAAAACTTTATAGAAATAGTTTCCAAACAGTTGAGATTCTGACGCAAAATATTTCAAATACTCATGATCTAAATATAAGCTTTATTAATAAAAAGTTAAATGAAAACACAGAGAACATAAACTCATTCGTGCCAATTATTTTTAGGTTTTACACCAATCATAAAGATTTTGTAACTTGGCAAACCAATCTTTAGTTGCTTACAGTGGGGTCCAAACCACAGGTCTACAACCTTGAAGCCATAGTCATTTTAGCCTCAGGCCCATCTTTTCCATTTTCCCTTTTACTTTTTTATTTTTTAGTAATTTTTCTTTTCTCTCTGCTTGGACGCTCTTTGCCTAAAAGGTCTGTAGTGCCATAAAGGTAATACAGTTGTCAAGAAGAGTATATAAGAGATATTATAATTTAATAGACCTGACATGGCACTCAGACCCACAGATCTGCCTTTGCGGACTGGCTGGAAAACAAAACAAATGAACAATTTATGTTTTAAGTCAATATTTAATATTATAACTGGTTGGTAAAAGTGCCGAGGGCATAACAACACTCAGGTGCAGATTTTCTAATGAGATGCATCACATCTCACAGCATGTGGAAACTAAGACACCCTTTTGTTCAGCCATTCCTGTCTTTTAATTGCAAGATGACGTCATTAGCTGGGTTGGGAACGCAGCGCAGCTCTCTATGCTGTCATAGCCCTGTACAATGCTGCTTGAACATGACAAGACAAGGCAGCACCGTAAAGAGGCTAAAAGCGTAGAGCACAAGACATTGTCTGCCATTTCTCACGTGATCCGCTCCTCCTGCACCTGCGACAGCAACCACATCCATTAGAGAGGAGAAATAAATAAACACACATGCACGTCCAAAATTTACTAATGAGATCAGGGATTCATCACTAGCAATAAAATGTGATTATAATCCTGCTCTGGATCTCATTTCTGTAATGCAAACAGGCGCTGATGAGTGATGAGGCTGTGGGTTTTGGGGAGCTGGATGGGATGGAGGGAGGGTACCGAGATCCGCAGACGCAGCTGGGCAGGTTCGGTGCGCCCCCATCTGTGGGCTGATGGATTAAAAATACTGGCGAGGAGGATACAAGGAGGGAAACGTGCTAAAAAGCATCGATTATTTTTACACACGTTGTGTTTTCATTTCATTAAATCTATTGATGAGAGGTAATGAAGGTAGCGGTGTGGCGCGCGGAGAGCTGGAGACGGTGTTCGGGATGTGCAGACGCGTCTCTACGTTGCTCTCATTTACAACGATCAGTCTGATTGTCTTTTTATTCAGTGTGCACAATCGACCCAGTCCCTTTTCCCTTAGTCTTATTCTCCGTGGGAAACGGCGACATGACGGCAAACAGGATGGGCAGTGGCACACCTGACCCGGGATGGATGACGAAACATGACACGGAAAACGCGCGCAACAGCCAGAACGTTAACACAACACGAACCGGATCAAAAACCTGCCATGAAGAGGATCCTGTCCGCCCTCCGAGAGATTATTTCTGTCGAGTAGTCGAGCATGGTCCGACTGGCCTCGATGCTGTGCGTAATGTTTTGAATGGTCGGTCAATGCGCAGACTGGTTGGAAATGACTGTTTTTATTGACGTCAGCGTCCCCCCCTCTCTCACATCTCCACAACTGCACCACCTAATGGTTTTTACATTCCAGTCATCCAGCTGGGCTTTTAACAAGAAACGGGCTTTCAATCAAGTCCGAAGCACAAGTCACGCGCAAACACGTCAAAGACGTGCAGAAATTCACCTTTTATAAACATGACAAACATGCGAATAAACACAAGAAAGCAAAGTCCGTGACAGAAAACACATCATTTAATAAATTATTTCAAATTTAATCAAAGTCCCTCTGAAGTAGCAGTAAAATATTTTAATATCAACACCTTCAAAAATATACGCTCCATGTTCTAGTTAACTCTTTACCGCCAGCATAAAGTAAATTAAAATCTAACAAAATTTAACTCCTATTTTTGCAATAGTATTAAACCTTTCTCACCATCTTGTGTAGAAAAGCTGCAGCTGTTCTATCTGGAGCTATTAGATAAAAAACAAATCTACTATGACTAGACTTTAAATAAATCGTTTAAACACTTGGGTTTCCTTTGATCTAGTGAAGGAAACACGATCACCGTGGTTCAAGCATGACATTAAAGTAAAGTACACGTCTGATAAATGATCCTGGTCCTGTTCTGGGTTTTGCTTCTCAAACAGATACGACCTCATTCAGACCCAGACATGGATGTGGAGGAATGTGAGCTAAAGCAAACACTCTCATGAGAATTTCTCCTGGAATTCAAGTCTAGTTGTATTCCAGGTAGAGGCAGGAAGGACTCACAGTAACACTACACATTACTGCTGCTGGATCATTCTACAGTTAAGACTCGTTGGGTTGTAGTGGAGGTCGGGCTAGCTCAACCTTCCACCTTTTCTCCATCTGATGCTTCTCTAGGTTCGGCATGATGTGTCCTCAACAGACCATGGTGCTATAGTATCTCCAAGTCCACATGACGGACCTCTGGGTTACGTTGCTAAAAAGACAAAGGTACAAAATGATCAGTTTTATAATAACAGTTAGATTCTGATGAACCGCATAAAGTTGTTTTTGTAAACTCCAAAGACTGTAAAAGCACTTTCGTCCTTTCATACCTTCAGTTCTTTCTCCAAGCGGTCCACCTCGGCTCCTAGTGTGTCAATGATGTTCTCCCCGTGTTTCAGCATGAAGTTCTCCAGCTCTTCGGGAGTTTTTACCTGCTGAATGTCCTGATGAGACACACATACTTAGCATTATCACAAAAGTTACTAATAAGCGTGTTTCCACTACAAGAACTTCAGGGTAGATTTACAGAAACCTCCCGACATGCACGTCTCCACCTGACCGGGCCGTCCGAACGGCTGTTTTCAGGAACCTTCAGAGTACCTGCTCTGGAGTAGGTACTCCGAATGGCTCGGTGGAGTAGCTGAACCTCAGGTTAACTCACGCTGATTGGTCGTAACTCAGTAGGAAATGACATCAGCAAAGGCCAAAACAACCGGCAGAAGTAAAATTAGAAGAGTACCGGAAGAAGCAAAATGGAAGCCAAAAAAAAAAAAAAAGCACCGATTGCATTTAAAATCTAACTCCTGACACCGGAAAACTCCTCCACAGACTTCATTAATGGTGCTTGTCTCACAAAACTCAGAGCTGTCCTCTGAATGGATTAAATTATGATATACTTCTATAAAATAAATGCTTTCAATATTATTAATGTTACTTTGGACGCTTTTTGGGGCTGATCAGTGACATCACTCACTGCCAAAGCAGTCCTGATATGCTGATGTCTGTGCAAGTTCTCAAAGGGCTGCATTTGAAGGGAGACACAACAGCTGAGAGGACTGGGACATCCTATCTCCTGGTCAAGTTCCCCATCCCAGGAACTACCCTGGAGTTCTGGTAATGGAAACATGCCTCTTGTTCAGTTCAGAAACATTATTTTAGTCAGTTATTTCTCCCCGTTAGCAACACCAAATGGTGTTGCATTTTAGTGAAAGTAAACTGACACGCAGTCATGTTCAGGTCATGCCTGGCTCAAAGTATGTGTCCAGATTCTGGGGTAGGGTTCTTGTGAGGACTGGTCCTATCTGGATGATGATGATGATGATGATGGTCCATGTAGGTCGGGTCCTTCCTTGACTACCAAGACTGGAAGTGAGCGTCTGTGAATGAAGACGGTCTAGCCTTTTAAGGGATATTCCACCTCTCAGTGAAATTGTCTAATTCCGTATTCCCCAGAGTTAGATGAGCGAGAAAAAAGCATTTTGTAACCAGTGCCGTAATTTTCCTCGTCTGGCAGCAGTCTGCCTACTTTAGCTAAGTACAAACAAAGGTAGTGAATAGCAGAAGTTAGCATTTTGTGTGCAAAAGTGATTAAAATGACTGAATATTGATACCAATTATTCCTGGTGAGCTCAACAATCATGTCAACTGCAAATTAAAAGTAAGAAGTAACACGAAGGGTTTCCTGGAGCCGATTTAGACTTGGGACTACATCACGAGAAAGCACTGCTGTACGCTTCCGCTGCAGGGCGCATGGATATAACACAGAGGTTGAAAAAGCAATCGGCGGCCGACAAAACGACTGTCCCATCCATGGCTAGCTCTGATGAAGACTGCAGGAGTGGTCGGAACCGTCAGCATGGTAAATAAACCTTTCCTGTGTTAAAACAAGAAATTAGATTAAATAAAAGACCACTTACAGATAGTAATGATGCACTTTCTTTTGGTTCTTTACAAAATACGGATGGGACAGCCATTTTTTTTTCAGCTGCCGGTGGCTTTTTTGACTACTGTGTTTTATCCATGCAATTCCATTGTTTCGCTACCATGTGTCGTCTGTAACGGCAGGGGAGGGGGGTGGGTGGCAGGGGTCCAAGCAAGGCCTAGCGGCCCACCAGGCTTATGGCATGCTGGGGGAAACCCTGAAGCGTGTACTTGGAAGGATGCAGCCCCTGAACTTAAACAAAGCCAAAGAGCTGAGGAGGACGTCAGACAAAAGCTAACACGACATAAGATGGTGGTAGAGGAGTTATGTGTCCGTCCCGTAATCGGAAGGTTGTAGGTTTCAGCTCTGCTCAGGCTGTCTTGTGTCCTGGTGGCGCCAGTGTTGGGCAGTCTCACCTCCATCAGTGTGCTCCAGGACAGCTGTGACTACATTGTAGCTCATCACCACCGGTGAGTGTGCGTGGGTTAATGACGGTGTTGTAAAGCGCCTTGGGGGTTCTAGGACTCTAGAAGGCACTACACCAAATACAGGCAGGCCATTATCCATTCAAAAAGCATTTCTGGAGAACTTAAATCAGCTGGTCAGGATTTTGTTTCATACCAAACACATGATTAAGATTTATCTAAACCTAAACAGAGATTTGATGTTTCTGATCAGACACACTGGAACCAGATACTCACACTGAGGATTTGGTCAATGTCTTGTTTTTCTAAGTAAGAGCGAGTCACCACCCGTCCGTCAAAGTCCACCTCAGCCTTGAAACGCACCTTACTCAGTCCCATGTCAGTGGCCTTCACGTCATGGATGGCCCTGCTCGCAACAAAACAAAGCACTTCAGAAAATCACCACAAAACATCACTTCTGACAACCAGAGATCTCCATGTGTGACAGAGGAAGAAGTTATTTACAGACAAAATAATAACAGCATCGTGAAACCCTAAAGCTCCTGAGATTAAGGGGTTGAACCAGGGGACTTGCTGACCTCACAGCAGGGTCGTTCTCTAGGATCTCTGTAAGCTTCTGGACACGCTCCGCCTGGATGGAGCGTCCCAACAGTGCCTCAGTGTTGGTGTAGATGAGGAAGGCTGATACGGTGCCAAGCAACGTTCCCACGCCGAGAGAGCCCAGACTATCGTAGTATGGGTTACCTGGGACAGGTAAGACGCATAATGTCATTCTAGTTTATTAAACCGAGATGATGCAGACAGCTGTTTCACCCACCAGGAGAATAAAGCCATCACATACCTGTGAGTGAGGTGAGCCCCATGCAGCCAGCAGCCATGATGACTCCCAATACGGCAGCAGCATCTTCCAGCAGAACCACATTGGTACTGGGATCTCGACTCTGCATCACTGCACACAAAACAATCCAACATCACAATTAGACCTTCATTTAGAAATATACACAGCTGCTCATTTTACATCTCCTGTCAGGTGGGTTCTCGAGGACGGTGGAAAAACCAACATGGACGGACAAAATCTAATCCAAAATCATATTTATTCTCACATAATCTCAGTTTTAATAAATTATCTACTGGCTTTCAGCTCACAATGAACTACGACAATCCCTGTTTTATGTAGGAACACAAGGCAAAGGTAACATTCTCCTTCACTCTATTCATAATAACGATTCATGTTCTCCATCATGTGACATGGCGTTGATGTGACCTGTAAACATGGAAGCAGATGCATGCCTAATGACAATTAAGACCTCTTATCCCTACTCCAGTGATGACATCAGGGGTTCTAATAGACATACCATACTCGTAAAACGACACCCTTTGCTGGTGGGCGCTCTTCTTTATTTCATTAATTGCGACCAGCAGGGTGGCTGCGAAAGAAAAAACAAGAAGATTTTTAACACAGAATTCAAAATGTCGGCAAAAACTTTGAAGGTTTATCCTGATAACTAACCTCCTTCAGACACCAGAGAGCCCGCCAGAATACAGTAAGCCTGTAGCAATACAAATCACATTTGCCATGTTAGAAATAACTCTTTGTGTACATTTGAAAATAAACAACTGGCTTACAGACACTCACCCATAACAAAGATTCAATGGGCTCTGGGTGCAGCAATCCCATGATGCCGTGGTACCAAGAGAGGCCTGCTCCCATCATAAAGATGCCCACTCCACTGATGAGGGAGGCGATGTAGCGCATATTGGAAAAACCATATCTGAAAAGCAGAGCATTGTGTGCCCCTACATGACTGAACATGTTGTGTAGGAGTATAAACACCAATCACAAATACACAAACGGTACAACCTGATGAGTAGAAAAACTTCTGGCTGCAAACAGTCAGCAATCCAGAGTTTTCTCCTTTATGTAAGAATTGTAGAAATCTGTCTCACCCTGTGATGTAATGTAGGCAATACGAGATCGATGACAGTGTGGATGTCATCACTGCTGCCGATAGCGCCCCTATCGGTTTTGATCGGAATTTTCAAAATAGATCAAAGCAAACCGATCAGGTAGGGTTGTCACGGTAACCAGTGTAGCGGTAAACCCCGGTAAAAAAAAAAAGTTGACAATAATAATAACCGTCTTGTTTTTAAAAAAACTATATTATCTTGGTGGGTTTACCGTGGCTGCGGTGTAGGCGCGGTGACCCTTACCAGCCACCGGATCATCAGCTGAAGTTGCCGGCGGCACGTGCACGCTTTGTTTACAACAAAACTTTCTTGAAGCTAAAGCTGAAATAATGGTCAAAGGAGGAGACGGCAGCGCTCAGGAGGACATTTATTATCCCTCAAAGAAGACAAAGTCGGAAGTACGGGCATATTTTAGATATTTGAAGAATGCCGAGGGAGTTTATAGAAGACGGACGGACGGCTATCCTGTTTGCAGCGCGAGCACAAAAAGTGTCTGTGAAAGGCAGCAACGCTTCAAATCTCATGACACATCTGCGTGACCATCACCCACAACTCTACAGTCAACGCAAGGCAAGTTAACGTTAGCGTTTTAGCTAAAATGTGTGATCCGAGGATTTGGGTTGAGGGAGAACGCAACGAGTCGCTATATAAAGCAGCCGCAGCGCCGCTACCTGCATATAAACCGTGTCGCGGACACCGCCATGTTGAAATGACGCTATGCATTACGGGGCTCACAGGGGCAGATAAGAGTTGGTCTCTTTCCGAGAATAATTATGAATTTAACAACGATTACTGCCTGATGACATTTTCCCACATCTGCAAAGCTCACTGGAAGGACACAAACCGAGGACAATATTCTCCTGATATAGGGTTTATTACTCAAGTAAGGGTAAAAAAGTATCTGATTAGAAGGCTACTTGAGTACTAAGTATCATCTGATCTAATATTTTTAAAATGATGACATCAAACAGACATAAAATAAGAAGTTATGGACAAATATTGGTATTTTAAAGGCTAAAGGGGAAAAATGTAAACAAATGAACAACATAATTACAAAATAACACATTTTAGGCAAAATTTAGACACAAACTGAGGACAATATTTCCTGACATACAGGGTTTATTTAATTGTGTGAAAATGTAGCACGTTTAAAAAAAATACCGCGATAATACCGAAAACCGTGGTAATTTTGGTCACATTAACCGTGAGGTTAAATTTTCACACCGTGACAACCCTAATACAGACCATTTTAGATTAGGTTACATTTCCTTTATTCCCAGATTATGTAGTTTGTAGCACTCATTATAATGTTGTAGAAAATTTCTGGCCAATCCACGTGATCGGTATCGGTGATCGGCATTCTTTGATATCGGTATCGGTGATCGGCAGCAAAAAACCTGATCGGTGCATCCCTAATCAAGACTGGATTAGTGTAATTCATTACTCTAAGGAAGTCCACAGAAAGTAGTTAAAAGTCTTCAGCTTGTCCAGAATGCTGCAGCTAGAGTTCTGATGAGAATTAAAAAGAGAGATCATATCTCTCCTGTCTTGGCTTCCCTACATTGGCTACCTGTTAAATTCAGAATAGATTTTAAGATCCTTCTTCTCACATATAAAGCTCTTAATAATCAAGCTCCATCATACATCAGTGATCTGATTGTTCCATTTGTTCCTAACCAAGCACTTCGCTCTCAGACTGCACGTTTACTGGTGGTTCCCAGAATATCTAAAATTAGGATGGGATACACTGACCACTTTTCACACTCTACTACTTCCTCCTAGCCTAGTGAACTAGACCAAATTCTTGCTTTGCAAAGTTTGGTCTAGGCATGCTCCATTAGAACCTCCGCAGCTCTTACCAGGACCCTGGCTAGCCAATCACCAGTGTTGGGAGTAATGCGGTACAAAAGTAATTAATTACTGTAATGCATTGCTTTTTGCTGTAATGTGGTAATGTAAGGCATTACAGGGAAAGAAAATGGTAATATTTACTCGGTACAATTGTCAGTAACGCGGTAATTACAATGCATTTTTAAACCCAGAATCAAGATGTGTTCCTTAAAAATTCAAATTGCGGGAAACCCGAAGTAAGAACCAGTATCTGCATATATTACGTCATTTATGGACTCAGCTTTGCGGGCAGAGAGGACTCAGCGGTACGCGGTAATGGACCGCGGTCAAGTGAGCCGTCATTTGTGAGCCGCGGTCAAGCCAGCCGCATCTTATCCGCCGCGAAAATTTCATTGCGCGTTTACAACAGTCAACGGCTCAAATACTCCAGCTGCGTCCTGCACGCGGCCGCTGCAACATTCACAAAATCGCTCCACTAAAACAAAATAATTCACTTGCGATCGTTCATATCAGTGCATGTTCTCTGATATTTTGTGCTTTTCTGACGTGCTTTGCCTCAGCTGAGTTCATAATCTGTACCCCGGTGATTTCAACTCATTACTGCTGGAGCGCCGCGCATGTGAAGATCCCTCTGGCTGATCGTTAGAAAGTAGGAAGTCTAGGAAACAGTTTTTTCTGGAAGACGGAGAAAACATGCAGCATGCAGGAAGGTTAGAGAGAGAAAGGGCAGGAAATTATTCAAATAAAATCAAGAAAACAAAACAAAGTGCTTGAAAAGAAAAAAGTAGGTAGATTTATCCCCAATACACATTTTTACCAGTGAAAAGCAATAATATATAAGCATTTAATATTTATACATGTGATTGAATCAGATCACCCCAGAAGTCAGTCCCACATCCAGGGCCATATCAAGGGGACCAAGGCAATATAGGCTTGGGCCCCCACCACCCTCACTCCCTGCTCAGTTAATATAAGATGGCAGCGTGTTGAGAGTACAGATTGTTGTTGCTTTTATTTAATAAACAATCATTTTAAAGCACTGTTATTATATCTGACTGTTTTTAACAGCAATCCTAGCTCAGATACCATATCACTTTCCACATATATGTCATGAGCTCACTGAGCGTCACATTACCAGATTCATATTGAAGTTGTATTGGTGAAAGTAACTTAGAGTAATGCAAAAGTAGTGTAATGCCTTACATTTTAAAATCAGTAATATTGTAATGTAATGAATTACTTTAAAATGAGGGTAACAAGTAATAAATAATGCATTACAGTTTTGAAGTAACTTGCCCAACACTGCCAATCACAGCTCTCTAGAGGGGTTTCAAACACATAAAGAGCTGTGATTGTCCATAATGGTGGGCCAATCATAGTGCTCTATCTGCTTAGTGAACAAATCACAGAGCTTTAGCCGCTTTGTGGGCCAATCAGGGCACTCTATATGCCTGGTGGGTGGGATGATGCAACAGAGTGAAACAAGAGTATGTCACATTCATTGTCCAGTGGAATGTGGAGATCATTTGAAAGACAACGGTAGAACCCGCCCACAACCGAGAGCCGTCAATGGAGCGTTACCAGACTAAATAATACATTTATTTAGTCTGGCTTGCCAGGCTAACTGTCTTCTACAATCTGCTCTTTAACTGTATTATTTCCTGCTATTTCAGCTGTTAACTTTATTTTTTCTCTAAGTGTTTTTCTCCCCAGAAGAAGCTACAATGATGTTCTGCTGAGCTGTGGTGGCCTCATGGAGGGGGCCATCGTCTAGCACACTGCGGCTAACTTTCTCCTTCTCCTGATAATAACGTTTTGCTTTCCTTGACATTGGATGTGCTACTGCTTGTTTACCCGTTTAATTATAGATTCACTAGGATAAATACAATGAAGTTTATCTCTCGCCAAATAGAATATTTACTAAGAAATCACAATGCAACTATAGACACATTGCTTTGTGTGTGTGTGTGTGTGTGTGTGTGTGTGTGTGTGTGTGTGTGTGTGTGTGTGTGTGTGTGTCTGCTCTGTCTTCTTGATCCCCAGTGAGTCGTGGAGGATGGCTGCTTATACTACGCCAGGATCCTCTGGAGGTTTTTTCCTGTTAAAAGGGAGTTTTCCTCTCCACTGTCGCTATATGCTTGCTTAGTATGAGGGTTGCTGTAAAGTCACTGACACTAGTCAGTGACTTGATGCAATTTGCTGGGTTCCTTATATAGGAAACATTTTTTCTGATTGGCTTAATGAACTGACCTGAATTGGAATGTTTATTATGTGAAGTGCCTTTAGATGACTCGTGATTTGGCGCTATATAAATAAACTTGAATTGAATTGAATAGTTTAGTATGCATGTTGCTGTGCTCACGGGTGAACGGCGTCCGGGTTGCGGACAGACTGGCTGATTCCCAGAGCGAGCAGAGCCTGGTTGCAGGTGTCGGCCAGGGAGTGGATGGCTTCTGAGAACATGCTGGCCGATCCGGTGTAGACCCACGCCAGAAGCTTGAAGAAGAAATTCAACCCATTGCTGAGAACAAAGAAGAAGTAACTGACACATCTGAGCTAACAGCAAATTAATTATTAAGAATTTAGTGAAGTTCCTAGAAAATCAGATTTTTGCACTGGGACTAGACCAGAACAACTACATAACCCGACGAGTCCTGTGACTCTTGATGTGAATCACGGAGTTCATGTGACTCTAACACAATCACTCTAATCTAATAGGAGACAGAAGCATGCGACCCTGAGTTACTAAGCAGTCAGACATAACATCCCTTTTAAAAACCAGAGTTATTACAAGTTGTGTTAAACTCCGGGAAGGAATACTGAGGCAATCCTAACAACAAAGCAGAACATATGGGATGCTTTCAGATGACTTTTCTATTTTTGGTTTTAGGAATCCAGTGATCTTCAAACTTACATGCAGATGGCTACCATGACCACCTTCCCTGGACCCTGCAGAAATGTTGTCCTCTTCCCTGATCGTGGCTTTACACAACAAAAACAACAACAAAAAACAATAGTTTAAATGCTTAGTGTGCTATTTATTTCAGTGGGTAATAGTTTTATAAAGTTGACACTGATTTAGAGACTACATAATGCATTAGTCATCTGCCTTGTTTTCACTATTGACACCCTCTCACAAAGCAGCTGGGTGGATGTTTCTGGTAAAACAAACCAGCGCAGTGCAGAATATACTATGACATACCCGACAGGTGCAGCACTGTACTCTCACTAACATAACATCAGCATCGTAAGGTAAAGACTGCATGAATGTCATTGTAACACAGTCACAGTGGCCCGTATAATGAGGGCAAAGGTCATAAACACAAGCAGGTGTAATCAATGACATGCTGGTGCGAATGGTTCTCCTCATGAAACATCAAACAGAGTTAGTCACCTTAGTGTTTCCCCAGAAGTCTTTGTATTCCTTCAACAGCTGCTGATTTCGGAAAATATCTGTGAATCGGTGGACAGAAGACAATAATCAAACACATTGTAACATACTGGCTTTACTTTAAAGAGTCAGTCACCCTACTACCAGAGTATTGCACCACCCACACCTCATGTTTGAAAAATGTGCCTAAAGGAGACATCACTTGGTGGATCCAGAGAGCAACGCTGAGACAGAAACCAACAGCACCTCCCACATGCACGTCATAACGTCAAGCTAGCATTCACGGACTCACCCATATTAGCTCATGACAGGGAAGGCTGTTGTTGGTTTAGCGTCCAGGAGAGAGAAGAGAGCATCTCGGCTTGTAAAAGCTAACAGTTAGCATTAGCAACTCCACCACACAACAGAACACCTTCAGGCTTGTGATATTTGTGGAGATGAAACATCAATGACTACGTTTACATGCAGCCAATATCCGGGTTATGATCGGGTTAAGGTCGGTATTCGGGTTTCTGAGTTGATCAGAATAACCCGTTTACAAGCATAAATAGAGTTACCCCTAACTTGCATAACCCGATTTAAATGCGGACGTTGGGGTAGCGTAAGGACGTATGGACTACGTCAAGATGCAATATGCGTCATATTTCGCTGTCTCTGTACTTTCGGCCGTCAACAAAAGACATAATGGTCATACTTTTCACCAGACCGATGAAGACAGAGGTTTCACTATCACTGCAAAAGTGTGGTGCTGTGCCGCGACTCGCCATGTTGCTCCCAACTTGTTTACTTCCGGTGTTCTGGCGCATACAAGACGTCTCGCTACTCAAAAGACCAAGATTCCTTGCGAACAGAGCATGCGCAGAACACACGCTTTGATGGGGATATCCCGATATGCGTTTACACGATCAAACATTCGGGTTAGAAAAGGGTTACCCTAGGTGTAGGTTATGAGCACATCTCGGTTTTTGGCGGTGTTTACAAGGACCTGCGGAACCGGGTTATTGTGAATACTTGGGTTTTAAAAGGGTTACTGGCTGCATGTAAACGCACTGACTGTTGCAGAGCAAACAGAATCAGTGGAAGAGCTGCGTAGCTTTTAGCCAATCAGAGAGATGTCCAAATTTCAGGAAACAAAGTCCCATTAGTCGTCACAAACTGGTGAAATTATTTCTCTGCATTTGACCCACCCCCTGGTAAATGGTAAGCTGCAGATACAGCTGCGCTTGTGAATTAATTGGTGGTTTAACCCCCCAATCAAACCCCTTAATGCTGAGTGTCAAGCTGGGAGGCATCGGGTCCCATTTTAAAAGTCTTTGGTATGACCTGACCAGGATTTGAACCCACAATCGTCCAGTCTCCGAGCAGACACTCATGCCACTTGGCCTCTGAGCTGTAAGACTTTAAGACTCCAATGCCTGCCATCTGAAGCTCAATTCTGCTGTGGCTCATTTTAGTTCCTGAAACAGGAGCACTAGAGCTTTATTTCCACAGAAATCAACTTACAAGGCAGTCATTTATACTAGAGACCTCTGCAAATGTGTTGAAAAATCAAGTGAACTTTAGGTGCTCTAAAATGCCAAAATTATGACTACACAAGTCTAGAGCACTATTAGACACTCATTTATACAGCTTATCAGAAAAACAAGATCATCTGGGGGTGACTTGCTCTTTAAGTACAGTAAAAGTATCATAACATGGTCCACAAACAAGAACTTGAACTTTGGGTGAATTTCTTTTCATCATAATCTTACCGTAGTTTTCATATTCACAGTTCTGGAAAATAAAAAAAGACTAACTTCACATTATCTGGTTCTGAGATTTCACCGTTTATAGGTCAAAGTTTGAGTAAAATAAACATTTTTTTATTTTTAATCCACAAATTACTGACATTTCTACCACATTCTGAACAAAATATATCTTTAATTTGAGCTTTTGTTAGCAGAAAACCAAGTAGCAGTGTTTCAGGACCACAACTGTCAAAACTAATGCTAACGGTCTTGTTCTAGTAAGAGTTCAGAAACCATTACTTTTTGGAGTAACCTTGATTATCTGATGGAGCTAAAAGGTTCAAGCAGCTCAACTTTGTTTGAGATCACAATTTTTCCCTCTTCATCACTAAAAAAAAGACACGTTTCATGCTACATTTGTGTTTTCTGCCATGTATCTAAGGGAAAAACACAAATGAAGCTTCTAACAGGATAAAAAAGTATCATCTGACCTTTTATTTGTCCATAAATAAATATATTCAGAGGGTGAAACCCCAAAAACCTACTCTCTTCATATTCTCTCTCCACCTCTTTCCTGAGATTCCTCTCTCGAGCCAGAGCTTCAGGACTCCCCCAAACATCTAGAGCTCTAATAATTAAACAAACAAACACAAGACTTGAGTAAAAATGCATTCAGATGTAGGATTTGCAAATTACTCATTGTGCTGCATTCTAAGAATGTCTGGAGGTGTAAAGGAGAAGGGTTTAAAGCTTACTTGGCTTCCACATCTGACCGTAAAAACACAGTGAAAGCTTCTGTGTCATCGTGAGGGCTGCGCCTTCTGATCTTACGGAGCTGTTCCAAATCACTGTGATCACAAGGACAGGCTGAGATTTAGAATAAACCTGAGTTCCGGCGTGGCAGACAGTGCTGTGTTCGCTAATCACAGCAGCATGCTTAGTTATTACTCCCATAGATGTCTGCTTTCAGATTACAAAGCTTCTTGGTATTTAGAGACAAAGGAAGGAAAATAAAGAACAAATTACCTTGGTTTGAGACAAAACTCATTCATGGCTCTGACAGCGGTGATGAAGTTGTTTTGAGTATATTTGGCTCCATATTCCCTTTTCTTAAGGACTGCTCGAACTGTGAGGGGCATCAGAGAATGTTTTTGTTATTAACGAGGCTGTTACTTAGTTGACTGAACATTATAAATATTTTTACCTTTTACTTGAATAGTCTCCGCTTTTGTCAGCCCTTGAGATAAGCCACCTGTGAGCGTAAAAACTTTTAATATGATGAAAGACTTTACATTGAGCCTGATTTTGAGGAAGTTGCCACTGAAGCAAAACCATTAGCATAATTTCTTGTTCACGTTGGTACATTATTTATATTCAATTTTAATCTGTTTTTATAGCGTGCCCCCCCCCCCCCCAACTCAAACGTTTTAATTTTTCTGGATTTGCATTATTAAATTAATCTAAAATGTGTGCAGTGAAAAATACAAGCATTTGGGGTTAAAGAAAAAAACTGAATACAGACTCAATTTGATTTTTGCACGGCTCTATAAAGTAAATGGACATATGAAGGTTTACCTGTTGAAGCAGAGGAAACTTTGGCAGCACCAGACCTTTTTTCTGTCCTGGATGCATCACCTGGTGCTGATTTTGGAGAACCATCTTTACCGTTTCCAGAGGAATAGTACTGGACCTTTCCCAGCCCCAAAGATGCGACTCGGGAGTCTGGAAGGCTGAACCATATGCTATGTACGCATCCATTCTGCCAACCTGTGCAACGCATAATACCTTTACCTTTGTACACAAGTCAGGCTTAAACTTGGATCAGAGCAGAGATTACAGTGGCACTCCCAGCAGCCAGCTCACCGTAGCGTAGCTGCGGAAACCTGAAAGACCGCTTGGGCAGAGACGACTTGTGCTGCAGGGACACTCTGCAGAAAACATGCCATGGTCTGTGGGCCAGGCTGAGGAACATCCTCGCTGTAGCGGAGCTCGATGGTGAAATGTGGGATTTCCTGTGCACATTCACAGATACTCAGGTCATTGTTATGCTAGCAGTCTACTTGTCCAAGTTAGCGTCCTCCAGACAAATTAACGCCAACAATGTTGAGGCAGTGGTATCAGTCAGCAAAGTAAACACAACTCGGGTGTTAAACACAGCTGCCATTCCTGTAAACGTGAAATAACGGTCACTCCGTGTGCCGCTTGGCTAAAGTTGACTCTGCTCCGTCAAACCCGGTGAATATGGAGCTATACCTAGCATGATATGCTAATGGTAACGTCGGTTAGAAACAAGTGCTCTTTCCCGTTTAACTCCTCGCAAAAATCGCGGCAACTGCTCCATGAGTGTGATTAGATAAAGTTGTTGAGTGATGTAAATACCTTTCTATGAAGAAGCTTGTTTTACATAGTCTATATCCATTCTGAGAACCTATGGGGAAACGGACTGTAACGCCGCGTCGCCGCTAGACGCTACAAACATAGACCCATGTGACTACTTACGTTTAAGAGACGAATACTCGCGTGAGTTCAGTCACAAATAGTTTTCCATTTTATATCGCGATATCCTGTAATACGCTGTAATAACAAGGTCATTCAAGTTCTTTGCATCAAACACAAAGTGAAAAACACGTTAGAAAAATATTTAGATGTTATAGAAAATAAAACTTAATGCATCTTAAGTTGGATTTCATTAATATGAGGAAATTAACATTTTACAGTACCACAAAAAGTTATGCCATAACTATTTAAAAGATTAAATAATCAAATTATTTATTTGAACATCAGTTGTTTACATTTCACCAACATAATGGGTAGTTAAACATGCATGATAAAAAAAATCTAATTTGAAATAACATTTATTTGTGAAGTTAGAAAATGAATAAATTGTTCAGTAAATACAATTGTTTTCAATAAATGCAATATATGTGGAAAATCTACTTTAGTAAATGCAGTTATAAACAGTATAAGACTGTCCCTTTGCCAGTGTAATAAGTGAATATTAACATCATGCAACTTATTTAAAAACATTTGCATACTTAACCCAAACCATTAAGGCATTTATGAGATTAGTAGAATTCTTGATAAAAAAAGGATTCATTAAATTGTTTTACTAATCATCCACTTTTATAATTTCTCAAAAAAATAATTACACATTAAAAACTTCTCATAAAAACAATTAGTTTTCAATTGATAGGACATTTCCTCGTTTTGGACATTACAGGTCTATTTGTCCAAAAAAAGGAAGTGCATCAGCCTAAATGACCTTTGAACTCACACAGAAATGGGTTTGTGAGAATTCTAATAAATGGCACAATGACCAAATGAGAAAATCATTCCAACACTTAAAATAATTGCAGGTTTATTGGATTTTTGAAACAGTACAGTAGAAATATGCCGTGACTTTGCATGAAATATGTGCATCACGGAGAAATGTTTTAAGATTCAGTAGACAAATGACTAACAAATTAAACACACAGTGTGAGAGAGCTCTGGCCCCTGCTGCCTCTTGGCGATACCTGCAGATTTATCACTTCAATGTCACAATCAATAAAACTGAAATCAGAGCGTTCAATCAGTATTTAAGACCTACAACACAAATTCAGAGGGCCATATCGATTAAAAAAAAAGGCACAACATGGCTTACAAAGAAGATCTGTTGAAAGAAAACTGAACCATTTGAGTTTATTAAGAAAGCAAGTTGTTAAGCAGATGTTGAACGACGTAGTGCCCGTCTTGGTGTGTTGGGCGGGGTTGTTCATCATACAGGAAACCAAGAGGTCTTGGAGAAAGTTGCATCAACGCATCGTAACAAACTCTTCAGACGAGGTTGGGTGAATGGCAACGGTGTTGTCAAAGTCTGCTTTGGTCGCACCCATTTTTATGGCCACAGCAAATCCCTGCAGCATCTCATCACAGCCGATGCCCTGCATGTGCAAACCCACCACCTGGAGACCAGACACGGTTACGGAATTTAAAGCAATCTGAAAACTTTATTCATAAAAAAATGAAAATAAAGAAACATCTTTACTTTTTCCTCTTTGCCCACGCACACCAGCTTCATAATGCAAGGACTCTTCCTGCTTGTGATGGCGTGATACATTGGTGTGAAAGACGTTTTGTAGACTTTCACATTCTCCTTTCCATTGATTTTGAGGGCTTCCTCTGTGACAAAGACATGTGATCGTTGCAATATTTCTAACAGTTAACAAAATATTAAAGTACAGTAGTTGATGACTGCAGCACAAAGCTAACCGCAGTAAAAACACCAGTGTCATTGAAGTACTCACCCTCTGTTAGGCCCACTGTGCCGATGGGTGGATGGCTGAACACCACTGTTGGGATGCTAGAATAGTCCAACTTTGAGTCCTTCTTGTCTTCAAACAGCCTGTGAGCCAGCTTTCTGCCTGCAGCAATGGCAACTGACCCAAAATGGGACACTAGTTAGCACTGAATAGAACAAAAAATGTGCCACTGAAAGACATCCGTTCCAATTAAACCTTATTACATATAATATATAATATACACTCAACAAAAACATAAATGCAACACCTTTGTTTCTGCTCCGATTTTTCATGAGATGGACTTAAAGATCTAAAATTCATTCCAGATACACAATATTACCATTTCTCTCAAACATTGTTCACAAATCAGTCTAAATGTGTGATAGTGAGCACCTGTGCTTTGCTGCGATAATCCATCCCACATCACAGGTGTGCCACGTCAAGATGCTGATCTGATATCATGAGTAGTGCACAGGTGTACCTCATACTGCCCACAATAAAAGGCCACCCTGGAATGTGCAGTTTTTTTTGCTTTATTGAGGTCTGGGGCCTCAGAACCGGTCAGTATCTGGTGTGACCACCATTTGCCTCATGCAGTGCAACACATCTTCTTCGCATAGAGTTTATCAGATTGTCAATTGTGGCCTGTGGAATGTTGGTCCACTCCTCTTCAATGGCTGTGCAAAGTTGTTGGATATTAGTGGGAACTGGTACACGCTGTCGTATACGCCGGTCAAGCACATCCCAAACATGCTCAATGGGTGACATGTCCGGTGAGTATGCTGGCCATGCAAGAACTGGGACATTTTCAGCTTCCAAGAATTGTGTACAGATCCTTGCAACATGGGGCAGTGCATTATCTTGCTGAAACATGAGGTGATGTTCATGGATGTACGGCACAACAATGGGCCTCAGGATCTCATCACGGCATCTCTGTGCATTCAAAATGCCATCAATAAAATGCACCTGTGTTCTTCGTCCATAACAGATGCCTGCCCATACCATAACCCCACCACCACCACCATGGGCCACTCGATCCACAACATTGACAACAGCAAAGTGCTCACCCACACGACACCACACATGCTGTCTGCCATCTGCCCTGAACAATGTAAACAGAGATTAATCCGTGAAGAGAACACCTCTCCAACGTGCCAGACTCCTTTGAATGTGAGCATTTGCCCACTCAAGTCTGTTACAGCGACGAGCTGGAGTCAGGTCAAGACCCTGATGAGGACGACGAGCATGCAGTTGAGCTTCCCTGAGACGGTTTCTGACAGTTTGTGCAGAAATTGTTTGGTTATGCAAACCAACTGTTTCAGCAGCTGTCTGAGTGGCTGGTCTCAGACGATCTTGGAGGTGAACCTGCCGGATGTGGAGGTCCTGGGCTGGTGTGGTTACACGTCGTCTGCGGTTGTGAGGCTGGTTGGATGTACTGTCATATTCTCTGAAACGCCTTTGGAGACTGCTGATGGTGGAGAAATGAACATTCAATGCACAAGCAACAGATCTGGTTGACATTCCTGCTGTCAGCATGCCAGTTGCACACTCCCTCAATGCTTGTGGCATCTGTGGCATTTTGCTGTGAGACAAAGCTGCACATTCCAGGGTGGCCTTTTATTGTGGGCAGTATAAGGTACACCTGTGCACTACTCATGATGTCGGATCAGCATCTTCATGTGGCACACCTGTGAGGTGGGATGGATTATCTCAGCAAAGCAGAAGTGCTCACTATCACATTTAGACTGATTTGTGAACAATGTTTAAGAGAAATGGTAATATTGTGTATCTGGAATGAATTTTAGATCTTTAAGTCCATCTCATGAAAAATCGGAGCAGAAACAAAGGTGTTGCGTTTATATTTTTGTTGAGTGTAGTTCCAAACCAATAAATGGACTATTCTATTCCTCAGAAGCTGCTCAAACTTAGAAAATTTCAGACTTCTGTAAACTAAAAGACAACAAAATTACAGAGGAGATACAGGCTTGCAGTAAACAGCTTTGTGTTTGATCTTATTTAGTTATTGGACACTTTCTAAGGTGAGTTGTGTTATTCAAGCTACTTCCTACCAGGTGTAAGAAGTGCTTTGCCACAAACGTCCCCTACAGCGTAGACTCCTGGTCGACTGGTATTCTGGAATTCATCCACTGTTATATGGCCTCTTTCATCGATATCCACACCCTGACAAACAAGAAAAACAATGATTTTTTTAAAATTACATTGATAAGTACAAAATCTATTTTGTTTTGAGGAAATGAAAAATAATTCTGAAGAAATAGTTTAGCCTAGGAGAACAAGCAGCTGAGCAGAGAAATAACATGAACAGTGATTCATCAAAACTGAGCAGGGTTAAATGTAAACCAGGCTACACAAGATAGACACTAAGAGACAGGCTGTCGGGCTAAGAATAGGAAGTAATTTATTGTCTCGGGCTTAGCAGTCAGGAGGCAAAAGGAGTGTCAGTCAACAGCGCTGTCAAATCAAAGCTTTTTACCGTCTCAATACTGACTTCAATGTTTGTTTGCTCTCTGGTGCCCCCTTGTGGCCCTGCAATTGCTTACCTTGCCTATCAGCATGTGGCACCTCTGGTAAAGATGAAGCTGATATTAAGGAACTGATCATCTTTAATGATCGATTCAGTAGAGGTTTACCTAATATTGTAATAATGTCTATTATATTGGACAATATTATTTATAATTAAATTGACCTATTATTTTCTCTTTAGTTCAGTGCATTCTTCAGTGTTGAAGTTTAATACAATTTTATTCATCTCCACGTTTTTAAAACATTTTAAAAACGTGAGTTGGTCATTCCTGTGCAGACTGTTACCACGTTGCTGATGTTCATTCCAGACGTGTTGGGTATCCTGCCGATGGCCCACAGAAGGCAGTCCACTTCCTCGATAGTGCTGATTTTCTCCTCGTCAATCTTTTTCTCTGGATCTTTAGAAACAATGGTGACTTCCAGGCCTCTGTCTGTCTTACTCACACGCTTTACCTGAGAATTCTTCCACAGATCAATGCCGTTGTTTTGCAGCTCTTTTGTGCAGTTTGCACTAATAAATGCATCAAAGTTTCTCAAAACCTGCAGAAAAAGCACAATGAAAGACGTGTTACAGCATGACTAGCACAGTGTTGAGGGAATCGTATGTTGCTCCTTTGTGTCTTACTCCAGTCTGTCGAATAATGAGGGACGTTTTGGACCCAAGGGTGGAAAGAATGCCAGCCATTTCTACAGCTATATAACCAGCCCCCACAATCACAGTGCGCCTGTCAGAGTCGAAGCTTTTAGTTACAGAAACAACTGATCCTTGTGGTTTCCCAAAATATAAACAAAAAAACAAACAAACAAAAAAAAAGAAATATACTTACTTTGGAAGGGTTTTAAGCTGAAAAAAGCCATCACTTGTAATGCCTAGATTTGCCCCTGAAATTTTAATTAAAAACAACATGTTTGCACATTTTACTGACTGAAGTTAATATAATTTGTAGATTCAAAATTACTGAAAGATTTAAACAGTTTGAAAGTAAAGCTTGTATATATTATATTACCTGGAACTTCATCCTCACTCAGAACAGAAGGCTGCCCTCCTGTGGCTATGAGGATGTGAGGCGCTGTATACCTTTTACCATTGACCTCCACAGTGGGCTGAGGGTCATCTGTAAACCTGGCATAACCTTGAATGAATTGGACTTTAGCCTAAAAATATCATGTAGACCATATTATTATTATTATTGCACCTAACACTTGTCTGAAAAACAAAAACAACAAATAAGTGAAATATTTAACTTAAATTCAATTCAGTTTATTTATATAGCGCCAAATCACAACAAGAGTCGTCTCAAGGCACTTCACACAGTAAAACACTTGACACAGCAAAACTCAGAACGCATGAACTCACCCTGTCGAGGTTGTTGCGATAAATTTGATTGAGACGAGAAACATATGCATCCCTTTTGGCTTTAAGCGTTCTGCAAACACATCACAAATATTAAATGAGGCCAATGATTCAGCTTCTCTTCTCATATGACCCTTTGCAAAAGATTTCATGTACAGATTTAAGGACGACAGACACTGAAATATCTTGTTTTTAAATAAAATTAAAGCTGGTGCTTGTAAATACTTAACAGCAGCTCAAACAGGAGCCCTCAAATAGTCAAATTTATTATATCTTTAAGCAAAGGCATAAGCACGTTTAGATGCGCCATTGGGCGCTTGAGAGTGTAACAGCGTCACCTCCATCTCCAAACCCAGCTGGAGTCTCCACAGATTGAGCAACTGTGCCCGTTTCTGTGCAGCCTATGGTTGCAACAACCAGCGCACTATTAAAAGCAGATCACGTGGGATTACTATTGACTTTCCTAGCTTACCTGTTGGGATTCTATATTTTCATTTATTTTATTAAATTTATATTTTTACTATTATGCCATACCACGTCTGATTTTGTCATTGCTGAGAGTAGACTCAGGACAGGCTTGTTGATAACATGATTCGGGCCTGGGCCGGTCTCCCCTCTGTGTGTGGAAGCCTCTGACCTCCACCCCCCCCCCCCCCCTCCCCCCCAACCTAGCCCCAGCCTCAGCTCCTCTGCGTATGTGTGAACTTCTGACCTCCAGCCCTTCTGCCCCCCTCTCCTGCACCCAGTTCTGTGGAACAAGCTGACTGGGTTTAAACAGAACCAAGGCGCCAGAGGTGTGAACGCTGACTTCTCAGAAACCATAGCAGGGAGTCTAAAAAAGACTGCATGTGTGAAGGAGGACAGGAAACCACAAAAGTTCACACTTCAGGAGAATGGGCCTGCAGAGAGGGAGGAGGGATAAAAATGTGACTTTTTCTCTCAAAAGGTGTTAAGAAGCTGACCTTTGATTTGAGACAATAATAAAAGAAAAGAAACAGCCCGGAAGAATGAAAAAAATGATGAAGCATGGGGGGGGGAAATAAAAGTGATTGTGGGTTCTGGTCAGGCCCCCACAATGCGACTTTAAAATTGAGTCAAACCCGGAAGTAAGACAAATTGCAGTTCCACCCTCATCCGCTGGGGGCTGGTATCAGAAGCGAGCAAATCCTCATTGACTCCCATGTTAAAAATACCAATTTCACAGCAGAAATAAACATGTTTACAGCCTGGTACCAAAACATGTTTTTTGTTTAAATGATCTAGTTTACACTCATGACAACTCTGAGGGGGGTGAATTTTTTTCTCACTCTTCTGTTTAAGTGTATTAAAAGCCTAAAATTCTGTATAACTAATGAGCATCAGACCCACGTGACCACAGAGCTAGCTCCGTGGAAAGGCCTCAGTAGAGCCTCAGTATGGCCTGGAATCTGTTCCGGGATTTTGAGTCTCTGTGTGTGTGTATTCTTTTTTGGATATTTTTTTGTGTAATTGTTGGACAAAATGACTTGCTGTGGCATTAATTGCACTAATAGAGCGTCCAAGCAGTCTCCACTTCATTTTTTTCGGTAAGTAAAATTATATTTATGTGTTTTAGGTCACTGCCGAGCGGAGCTTAGATTTTAACATGTACTGTTTAACCATGAAATTTAAATGTAATAGGGTAAAACCCAGTGCATTTAACATAATGCTGCACTTTAGAAAATGGGTTGAAATATAACATGTTGGTGGAGCTGGGTTCCCACTATCGGCTTGTGGAGCTCTCAAGAGACCGATGTTTTCCACCCGGAATGCCGGCTGTTTCACCCCGCAGCCCGGTCCATCTCTGTCTGATCGTGGCTCCTGTTAGCTGCGCGGGCTGACGGCTGGTTCTCCCAGCAGCTCGGCACATCTGTCTGATCGCGGCTTCTGTGTGCTGTGCGGCTGCCGGCTTGTGGAGATCTCCGAGACCTCTGTGTTCCACCCGGTTTTACCCAGCGGTCAGCCCGACGTGTCTCTGACTCAGAAGCTCTGGTGTTGTGCACAGTTAACTCCAGTTGTAGCGAAGTTGTTACCTCCATTAGCTTAGCTCCCACCTCGCGCATTAGCTTTGGGTTAGCTTCAGGTTAGCTTGTAGCTAGTTCGACCGGGTGTCGTCAGTCGATCCCAGCCTTACAGCCCCACCCTCAGCTCCACCTCTCTTCCGTTTTTAGGAATTGTCTGGGCTTGACGGAACCTGTGACACGGTCAAATTGGCGGTGGTGGCCACCTCCCATTTGGCCTCAAAAAAGTGATATTGGAGCCGTTGGAAAGTAGATGTCCATAATAATGGACAAATAATGTCGATGGTTCTGGTGGGGAGAGAAGGTTGGGTGATTGCTGCTGGGTCAAGTGTGTGCACATCAGAGAGCTTGTTCTCCTCGGATCTGCTAGAATCTCGGGTTTTTTGAAAATAACTTTTCCTATTTAGCTTAGCCTAAGCTGTTCTTCCTTGTGTTGGATTACCTTTTTCCTTTTTGTGTGTGGAATAAACTTTTCTCTCCTTCGGGAAGGAATTAAAAGTAATTCGTGGGGGCCTCCTTTCCTTCTCTGGCACAGCAAAAGGTGAGTTTGCTGGTTACTTCATTCCATCCCAGGTTGTTTACATCAGCGTTCGCCTGATTAGAGGGGAAGCTGACGAGGGTCTGTTTTGAGCATGATAAGCTCATGCAGTGTGTTCTGATACAGCAAGAGTCTTCCTACAGCAAAATAAAGGTGATTTTACCAGAATTAAAAGCCTAGGTTGCACAAGGTAAAATATCTCTCCACAGAGTAAGGGTTTTCGTCAGGAGGGGGCAGAGGTCAAGCCCACCATATTGTACCGTAAGCCAAGGCCTTGAGATTTAACACCTAGAGTTAGCCTGGTGGCTTGGCTTGCAACAGTCATAAAGCACAATAAAATAGGTTTTTGAAACAATACACTGGGGGCAAATGGGAACGCATCCAAGACAGCAGCCCGCTGTTATGCCAGGTCCAATTGGCAGTGCCAGTCCATGTCGCGTCTACATATATGATGAATGTGTTATATAGGTGCATGATGTAAGAATGAAGAAAAATGACATCCTGTGGTCAAATTTGGGTACTGCAGTCCATTTTCAAAACAATCGAGTGACTTCCTCACAACGGTTCCATGAGTTTCATGGATGTTGCCAGTTATGGATCAGAACCAGAAGATTCTAGATGATAGGCGAAGAAGACAAGTCATACACAGAAGTTGATAAGTAGACAAACACATTTCATTTTAATATTGTTGTGGGTAACTGGAAAAATAGCTTGAGATATTTTTAGAGCCAACTATTTGTGTTCAATTCACTGTTAGCTCAACATAAGCCTCTAGCCTCCTTTACTTGTTATTAGAGTTGAACAAAAAGATGCTATAGCTAGGGGTAAAAGAAAAAAAAAACTCTGGGTCACTCCAGTTTACTGGCTTAGAATCTTTACAAAACACTGCTGCAATTTGCTGGTCGGTGTCGGATTACAAATGTTGGCGCAGCCCAGCAGCACTGGCGCAGAATCTGCCACCCCACGGATTTTAAAGAAAAAAAAGACTGAGTGTGTCCGAATCCAAGGGAAGGATGCTTGTAAGAGTGTATTTTGAGGTCGATGACGTCACAGCGCAGCGACGAATACTGTCCAAATTCCAAGAATACTCATTCTCGCGTCCTCAAATGTGTCCTTGCTCCGCCCACATTTCAAGGACGGGTCTGTTGTATCCTCACAGAACAAGGCTATCCCAGCATGCTTTGCGTGCCGGCTGAGAATTTTCAACAGGTAGAGAAAATGGGGAGAGCTAAGACGTTTTAAACGTAAGTTTGTTAAAAACTAGCCATAGAAACCTAAAAAGCTTAAAGCGGTTCAGTTTATAGACATTTTTCGTTTGTATATTTCTTTTTTTAAATTACATTTTAGGCAGAAATCAGCCAGAATGAGTGTTTCACGGGTCCCAGTTATTCGCGTTGGTGTGTGTGTGTGTGTGTTTGTGTGTGTATATGTGTGTGTGTGGCGAATTAAACTTGTCATTTGTTTTAAGGACACCGGAGCAAAGAAGCGTTTTTATTAAGCTTAGAGGTGAAGAGTGAAGCGGTTTACACACAGCCACAGAAGTTCTGCTGTGAAAAGTAGTTTTACATTCAGGGATTTACACAGCTGACACGTTATAATGAAGTAAAACGTGTTTGTGTGAAGAATATAATTTTTATCTTCTCATGTGGATGAATGAAAAAATGTGTTTATTGCCTTTTTGTCACCTGTGGTCTCTGATTTTCTCTGTTTAGGACTGCAGGTGCCCAGGGTCAGGAGAGGCTTTACCTGTTGGTCCTCCTGGGAGAGAGGCCTTCTACTGTCATCATGTTAATGTTATTTAGCTGTTAGTATTTGTTTTAATAAATGTGTTCAAATATCAAACTGATAACTCTTTCTGGTCAGTGATTTTATCACCATTTTTATTATTACAGATGTTTTTGAACATGTTACATGAACAGAAAATGAAAAGATGGTAAGGAGACAAGATTATTTAGAATACGTTACACTTATTTACAGATCAAAACCAGTATGGACCAGTTATGTACGGTTAACACAGGATTAACCTGAGTGACTCTTCCTGGATTATTTATTTAAACTGAGTGAGCAGGAAGTCTTTAACAGTGCAGCTGGATCTGCTGCAGGAGGATCCAGACGTGGATGGAGGGCTGGAGCAGACCCGTGGCTGGACGTTTCTGGCCAGAGGAACATCATACAGGACGGTCTGCAGAGAGAGCTTTGGGACTACAGGGCCTGCTGGGCTGGCTCAGACGACGGCTGTTACATCTGTGAATGACTTGCCTGTTAACAGTAGTGGTGGTCTGCTGGTACCTCCTCCAGGACAGAGCACCACTGACCTCCTCCACAGACATCTTCCTCACACTCATCCTGCAGACCCACAACTTCACCAGCACTGAGGCAGATGTGCAGCACAGTGCATGCTGACCTGTAATACATTAAAAAAGAGGTTTTTTATTGAAAAATGTAAAACAAAACATAACCTGCAGTACACTGGTTCTGTTCAGTTTAAAGAAAAGCAGCATGGAATAGTTCAATAAAAACTACAGAGTATTTACATTTTTAAGACAGATCTAATCATTATTAGGCTTAAGTTGAATAAACAAATGCAAATTGAAAACACTTCAATGCCATTTTATTAAAAAGCCTGTTTTTTAAAGCATTTTACCCCCATTTGATGTAAAATAAGTTCTAAGGTACAATTTACATTAGAAAACATCCTACTGAATTCAACATTTATAATGCATTTGGTTTATATTAATTACCTGAATGATAATAATCAGTAGTAATGTGTTGTGTACATTTAACCAGTTCATTCTGTAGCTTAAAACATACATGAAACCATCTAAAGTTAACATGTAAGTCCTGAAAGCTTCTAGAATAAACAAAGTTACTTTACCTGAAAACGGTTGTGAACAAACGCTGCTGATGGACATGAAGCTGTTGTAGCTCCTTAATATTCCTGCTCGATTTCTGCTAGCTTTAGCATTTTTCCTTTGCGTGTAGCTGCCGCCATGCCTATGACGGGACCTACGGGCCACCGTAGAGGTGAAGGCTAGACTGTCCGAATTCAGAGCCGCTGACTTCCGGTTTTAGCGGTCTTCAAGCACCCGGCCTTGCTAGACCGGCGAGGACCAGTACTCATAAGCATCCTTCCTGTGGATTTGGACACACCCAATATCCCTCTTTGGCCATTTTGAAAGGAGAAACTGACAACCCCCTGCCGGCTGAGAAGAAAATCTGTTTCATTTTAACCTTCTTTCCAACAAGATTTCACTGTAGAATTCTTACTTATCTCATTTACTTTTGAAACATTTTTTAAAAGCTCAACATAAAACTGGATAACTGCTTTTAACATTACAGTGCAAGTGTATGACACACATTTAAAGAGCAAGTTGCAGGTTAAAATTTTTTTCTAATTCATATAAAATGCTGCCCAAAAAATACTATTTAAAAACCTTATTATGGATATTTGGTTTTAAAATACAAAAAAAGCAGAGTTTTTCTAGTAGAACGTGGCTTTTCTCAGCAAAGCTTTTTTCTAAATGTGAACCTCTGACGTAACCAAAGGGAGTTAAAAGCTCGGCGCTGCCTCAGCTCAGTGTGGAGAGTGGGTACTTTTAGGGTAGAGAGGTCCTGTCATCCAGACAGTGTGTGTATTTACTAGTGTTGGATTGTGTTCATGTTAATAATCTATAGTGTGTGTGAAGGCTGTACCAACTCCAGCGTGTCATGAACTAAACCAAAAATGGAGATGTAAAATGACATTTCAAAATTTTATCCTATCCTAAAATTAGTCATTTCAAATTTTAACCCAGACACATTTTAATAATAATAAAAATAAAGTTATTCAAAAGAGTGTCATTAGGTCTTGAGTACATTGCTCATAATTAATGATTCAGCGTATTTGTGCATATGTAATGACTAAACATAATGTTGGTAAAATGCTTTATTAAAAATACTATTATACATGTTGTACAAGTTTGGTGTTCTTTTTTCACAGTTAACACTTTTTTTATCTACTGTGATGAACCATCAAGTTTTATTGAAATTTTCTTTGTAATTAGTTGCTATAGAAACCAGATAAACTGGGTTATAGATGCATGTACTGTCTTCACATAAAAATATAAAGTAATAACTGTAAAATGTATTCTACTGGACATAATAGATCATCATTCAATGCATAAACAGCTACATATTTTCTTCAAGGTAAGCTGGAGCAGAATTCTAGCTTTCAATAAACACTTTAAAATGGATATTACAACTCGAGTTTAGGGCTTCTTGTAGGACTTAAAGTTATTAAATATGCTTATATTAGAGCAGTGTGTTGCCTTACCACATCAAATTTATTGCTATAATATACTATAGTAATGTTTGTGGTCTAAATGTGTTCTACAGTGTGTTCGGACCGTCGTGTTCCTGTAATGTAGAACAGTCACGGATGTTTGTCTTCCTACAAATGCTCGGAAAAATATAAATAGGCTACTTTGTGAAGGAGTTAGGACATAATATATAATATAATATATAATATTATTCAATAATTACCACAAATCGCCAGGGGAAATGTGATTATATTAAATTTTTGTGATTTGTCCCACCATACGCCGTTCAAACTGACTTACGGCGCTGTGGGATGTTTGGAACTGAGAGCTCCATGAACCACGTGACCGCGAGTCGGCGAGTTCAAAGAGTCTCTTTCTACAGCTCTGACAGAACCCTGCCCTCCTCTCCCAATGATTGGACAGGAATTCGAGAAACGTGATTGGTAGCTAAGACTCGTGCTCTCATTGGTTCCACCCAAGTTCCTCTCACTGACGCTAGAATTGAGACTAGGGCCCGAACGATATATCGGCCAGCCGATATTATCCATATTATTAACACTATCGGCCAAAAAGACGGCCGATATGGCCGATATTGCTCTACCTATCCAGCAGATGGCGCCAGCTTTATGAACTCCTGTTGTGTGGCTCCATTCCTCGGGGTGGGGGTGGGGGTGGGGGGGGAGCCACAGTCACAGCACACATGCAGCGGAGAAGCAGCAGAGACGATGGTGATGAGGAAGTAGGAGGTAAATCTTCAGTTTTAAGCATATTTGTTGTGTCAGTGGTAAGTTGAACGATAAAATAAGCAATGACAAAAGTATGTTTCCCCTCAACATGCTTCTTAAGTTTATTGTGCGCCTTGTGGCCTCGTATTGAAAAGTTAACCTGAAAAAATAAAATAAAATAAAACTGCTGCAGCATTACACTCTATGCAGAGCTCACGCTGCTTTCCCTTTAGTCATGCAGGGCAGTAAGTAAGTAACAATGGCCTTTTTCTGGTACACATTCTGGAATATTCTCAGACAATTTCCTCCGCTCTTCTTCAGCAGTCTTTTCAAACTCACGCGGTTCACCCACGGCTTGCGAAAAAAATAGTGCAGACACCGAAACGATCGCTGCACGGCGCGGGCTAGAGCGCCGGCGTGCAGCGCTTTGGCGGCCCATGTGGCCTATAGAATAGGATAACCAGGGTGACGAATGAAGGCGGTCCCCGTTTCACGGCGCTTCGGCGGCACACGACTGTTGTCGCAGCTGAGGACGGGCGAGGGGGGGTTGGCAACAAAGCAATGAAACGCTGTGCAGCGAGTCCCCCCTCCTCTCCCTAGTTGGGAGAGGAGGGGGGACAGTAATACGAGAAATAAAGATTCCTCTCTACAATAGAATAAATCTATTGTATTTTTCAGCCTTATATTTTACATAAGGCTTATACATTGCCACATACTAGTCATTTAACGTATCTTCTTTTTATTTTCCTAATACTGTCGGCTTTGGAAAGGATCAACACACAAAATTGTAAAACTCCACAGACTCAGAAAACAAAAAACTTGAATGAATTCATACTGACCGAGTTTGTGTGTTCTGCTGTTTTTGAGATTGCTAAATAAATCTTATTTGCATTACTTGGAAACCCTAGTGAGTTATTGAGACAGTTCTTTGGTCTGTAATAGAGAAATAAGTTAGCATCAAAAAGGCAGAGAATAAAGGGTTTAATCTTAAGAAAATTTGTATTTATTATTTTTTGTGAGGGAGATTTATCGGGTATTCTATCGGCTATCGGCCTTTGTTAAAATTTTTATATCGGCATCGGTCCCAAAAAGCGCATATCGGTCGGGCCCTAATTGAGACAAAATGATCCGTAACACTGTAGATTTGAGGTTTGTACCTGTAGAATGAAATGTGTGTTTTGAGAGTTTTGATTTCAAACGTGCATTGATTTTTTTATTTTGGAAGTCTGCTAGGTAAAAACCGAAAGTTTCATGTTTCTGAATAAATGTTTTATGTTACAAAATGAGTAGTAAATGTACAAAATAAAAGTTTGATTTTACAAAATAAAAATTACATGTACAAAATGAAAATTTCCTGTTACAAAACAAGAAATACAAGTACAAATTGAGAATTACAAGTTAGAAAACTAAAGTTACAAGTTACAAGTTACAAATCCAAAGTTACATGTGATGAAACATGTTTGAAGTTACAAAACATGGTACAAGTTACGCTGAATATTGTCCCAATCCTAGCTCCATAATTGTTTCTCCCTCTGGTTTGTCTCTGCTCTCTGGGGCGTGCAGCAAACTCATGACTGTATGGTTTTGGTCCATCATGAGTATAATTATAAACATTTAAAGGTTCCTGTGTGTCAGCGCCAGCACTAGGGTCTATATTTTTCACTGGATTAAGCTAACAATACTCCCTCAGGTGATGTCACTTGGTTTGGACAAAAAAAAAATACTTTCCCACAAAAAATGACTCTAAAAGCCTAAATAATTTATGTTTGTGTAAAAAAACGTTTAAAACGAGTTTCTATTATGTTTCTCTAAACATTGGTTCATGGGAGTCTCTAACCTGCAATTTGCTCTTTAACATCGGTCACTTGAATAATTCAGTAGTCTTAGCCTTGCCCAGTTTTGCTGAATCATTCTGCACAGATGTTTTTTTAACAGTCGTCGTGACTTGTAGGAGCTGTTAGCAGAGATAGGGGAAGTGGGCAAAATGAAGAAACAAAAGAGCAACAGGTAAGAAAGCTGTACTTGGAAAAAAACACTGCTTTGCCTCATGAATTTCCCCAACAAGCTTTCAAAAGAGCTCTTTGCAGATGAAGTAATAAATTGCATTAAGAAAGAACAAACACTCACTCCCAGTTGAATTTAAAATTTTCGACGCTGAAGCCGTAATCACTGTGATCATGCATGTATTCTGCATGAACCGCTGCATTCCACATGACCTGGAAACACATGCAAATTACATTCTTTAGGTTCTTCATTAAATGCAATGCTATTTTCAGAGTATTTGAAATAAAACTACCTTCTTAGGCACACATCCAACATTAACCTGAGGACACAATAAAATAAAAGTCAATCAGCATCATCTGTAATGTGTTTTACAGGTAAACGGTTGTAAGATTAGATCAACTGACCTGATTTGATCATTAGAAAGCAAAAATGTGAATGTCTGAAAAAAATCTGCTCATTCATGGCTAATTTCCTCATTTAAAACCAAATCTAAGAAGTGAATTACGATTTGTGCAATCCCGAGTTTGGTGGAAATCTGCAGTTCTGTTTTCAAAAAGGGAAACAAATTCACATAAACGTACAACAAACCCAAAGTTTCAACATGTTTCCCATGTTAAACGTTTGACACTGAACAAAAAAAGACTGGCAGATTTACTTTAAGAAGATTCAGGTTAAATTAGGACAGGTGTGTTTTATAATAACAGGTGTAGCTTTTAACCCATCACAAAGAGCCTGCATGTCAAAGACAACAAGAAGCACCCGGACGCTTCGTGTTAACGCTGACATGAGGTCGGGAACAACTCTATTGATGTATTTATTTTTTTACTCACGCAGGTACCTCCGAGTTTGTGGCTCTCGATCACGGCAGCGTTTGCTCCCAGCTCCGCCGCCCGCCGTGCCCCGGCCAGACCTCCAGACCCACCGCCAACCACCAGAAAGTCGAAGCGGGTTGTGTCCGGGCTGTGTGAAGCCATGCTGCGGCGGATAACTCCGTGTCTGCGGAAGAACGACAAAATTGGCTTTAGAAGGGTTGGCCAACTTGGAGCTTTCGTTAGCTGGACGAGTGCTGCCATAACCAGGAAGCTCGTAGGCAGGCGTGTACGACCGACGGATGGGTTGGAATGGGAGGGTCATGAGAAAGCCATTGCTGTGTCATTGTGAATTGCAACAATAGTGTAAATCCCAGAAAGGGTGTTTACAATAGTCATATTGATCCTAACATAAGCTACCGGGGAGCGGGTTAACACAAATTCAAAAGCTAACTTTGTTAACGCAAAACTATAAACAAAACTCACCTAAGTAAAAACACCGGAGAGAGCACTCTGCAGATTCCCATGGGCAACGTGACGCTTTATATTTTAGACATTTAGTTACTTATGGCATTGGCCACCGTCTGTGTACCTGACGTCCGTTGAAATTTACTTAAGCACTTCCCGTGTCGCCAGGCCCGTTACTGATACCTATACGTACGAACTATCACTGGGACAGTGGAGGCAGCCGTAGGCTACGTACAAAACTGTAATTGTAACGTAAATCATGATATGAAAAATGGCTGCGTTGTATTTCTTCAAGAATATCACGAACGTTGCGCCCAGTTTGACTGCTGTAAAAATGAATAACTTATCAGCGGAAAGTTCCGGTTTATACTTTCAAAATAAGAGAACATCAGAAAATACAGTCGGACAAAGAACAAATAATAAACAAATAATGCACAATGTGATGCTGATACACACCACTTTTAGTTATTTGACCCCTTTGAAATGCCAATGCAAAACAAATCACTCATGTATTTTAATCCCAATTAAAAATAGTGTTTGCACCTGTTATTGTGGAGTTTTCTTTGACAATTTGTGGCGGCACTGTTGCAGCGTTCATTCTAGATGTTAAAAGTTAAGAGAGACTACAATAACTGTCTTTGTATTTTCAACAGAACGCCATATTATATATATTCTTATGTGGAGGAGTCAAGGACACAGGAGCAAGAGTCATGATGCAGGCTCCTCCAGAATGAACTAGTTGTCCCAATTGGTGAAAATATACGTACATACATACGTACATACCTACATACATACATACATACATACATACGGACAATGACTTGGGTGACTCCATAATAGTCTGCCACACTGTAATTTACAAAGGTATAAAACAAATTGTTCAGTCATCATAAATAAACTATCAATTTCTCAATTTCTTTTATTTACAAAATAATCTAACATAAACCTAACCATGGGTGTACTTTATTCAAATATTCAGTAGTGCTCATGTGTTTTAGACTGTGTTTTGTTGTGTGTTTTTATACAATTATGGTTACTTTGCAAACCTTTGGAAAATGGTTTTGTTTGCCAAGAGTTCTTCTGAACGAACTAAAGCACGATTTTGACACATGAACGCAGATAATGCTTTTGATAGATAAATAAATAAATAAATAAATGAATAAATAAATAAACAAATAAATGTTGTATCTTTACTTTGAAAAACGTTCCGGAAGTGAGCACGTGCATGATACGTACAGACAGCTAATCACAAGCTAACTCGAAGCGATTTGGTTTGCAGCGCTGAAACCCGTTAAAGTCACATCCAAGTGAGACATTTCCGTTGTTTTTATTCTTCGGAGAACCCCGTAAGAGACCACAGGTTGTTTCACAGACTTCCGCCTGCACACGCGTAGGAGATTCGTCTCGTTTGTAAACATTGGAAACGCGGACCGTCGTCTCTTCCAGACCCTCCTGTTAGGTCGGGCCTTTTTCCTGCATCCAAACGGATAGCTCGGCTCGGCAGCGGTGGATCACAACATAGACACCCGTTTTCAGGCAGCGGTGGATCACAATATAGACACCCGTTTTCAGGTAGAGTCGCCCTTTTGTTTATTTTGGAATCTTATTATCAACGATTTAAAAAATAAAAAGCTGCAGAAAATCTTGCAAATCTGTTTGTGAGGGGGAGGGGCTATTGGGGCCTTTATGTTAGCACCGGGCTCAGATAGGGTTTCTTCCCTATCTGATGCAGCTGTTAAAGCTTGCTTTTTTTCTCTCCCATCTGTTCACACAGGTGAACACCACTTCCTTTCGTCCAAGGCTGCATGGGAGCGTGCTCAGCTGTGGCCCAAACCCTGGACATCAGCTGATTGTGGATGTTTACTTCATGGCATAATTGCACCTCTGGGATTTGACAGACCGGTGCCAGATGACCAGCGGACATCACCATGAAGCCCATCAGCTATCAGAGCATGCCATCATCTGTGAATGGTGGACCTCCAAATGTGTCACTGGGCCATCCTTTTATTACATCAAAGGTGATATACTGCGAGAAATGTAGATTTGCAACTATGGACCCAGTTGTGCTCAAAAAGCACATGGCAGAGCACATGGAAACAAGGTTCCATTGTTTTTATTGTAACAACATCTCCTACAGTGAACTGGAGTTGAACGAGCACGTGAAACAACACACCTCCAAATATCCATTTGAATGTCCTCACTGTGGGCAGGGCTACATGAGACGGCTGTGTCTTGTGAAACACATTGACCGTTTGCATAGTAAAAATGTAAATCAAGGACCAGCTAAACCTGGCATGGTAAAAAGTCCACTAGTCCCCGTTTCTAGTGCCTTAACAAGTGCGCTCACTGCTGATCCGTCACCACCTCGACCTGTTGCTCGGGTTACAATACCTACTCCAATTGCACCTGCTGTTCGAGCGGGAAAGGACGAACAGAGAGGAAAAACACTGGACACAAACTCATCATTTGCCACTAATGGTAGCACAGAACGTGTGTCTAATTTGAACGGACTCTTTCAGCCTAACAGGGCTTTAACTGTCTCTCTACCAGAGGAAGTGTCCATCCCTGCTGGTTGCTTGGTGGAACTTGTGGAGGTGAAAACCGTAAACGGGACAAAGGAGCTAAAGTTAAGGCTCATCTCTCAACAAGAAAATGAATCTGTGATAAAGGACACGCAAACAACAACTTTCCAAAACACACCGTTGGTAAAGCCACCATCATCCACACATCCTGCTTACCCAGTGAGGTCCATGAGTATGGGCATGTGCACAGTCAACAGGAAACAAACGGACACCAAGACCGTGACCATTGAGCGTTCCTCTGCCTCTTCTGCTGTTCCAGCAAAGATTCCCAACAGCCTCTCAAACGTAGTGAACAAAGAGAAAAACGCATTAAAAAGAGCATCGCCAGAAATAATCGACGTGGAGTGCAACTCTGTCCCCCCCAACAAGGTTTCTAAAAACATCCTCAGTCCTGTGAGGGAAGGAAACGTTGGGATCCGAGTTACACAAGCAGCCCCCGTGAACCACAGCGCTGCTCCCTCCGGCGTCATCTCCAGCAGAGTCGGCAGCAGGTTGAATACATCACTTCATCCACACAGCATGGGCACGAATGTTCCTCAGAGAGTAGTGAATGAGAGAAAAAATCCAGCTTCTGATAACACCAGGAGTACCTTATTAAGGAGGTTGTCTGACTCGAACAACATTCAAGACGTGTCATCAGCTGTGAAGCTGGAGCCTGGGCAGATCTGCCCTAAGAGTACCACTGCTGCAAAAGAAGTGAAAGATGTGTGCTTAAACCGGCAAAGCACACCGACCTGTGGCACCACAAGGTCTCTGGTAACTACTGTTGCTCCTGTGAGACCTCCAGCCACTTTAGTCAATAAAGGCAACGTGGCAAATCAGCCTTTTTCTATTCTAAGAAGAACTCTAATCAAACCCCTAGCAACACCACCCGTCCTTTCTAATCACACCAATTCTAAACCCTCCACATGTGCTCGGCAAGTCCGAGCTAATGGCCCAGCAAAAGAAAGAGGTGTGTCAGAACCTGAGAGTTTTCCTGTCATCTCTTCTGTGTTCTCATTAAGTGAGCAGCCAGAAGAAGGCCAGGGCTCCATGCAGCCTTTGGTGATGGCTCTGAGAGGCATCGTGATGGATAAGACACACAGTCATGGATCCTCCACTCAAGATCACCTCAAGGTTAAGATCAAAAATAATTTGGAAGAACCACACAAGACACCAGAGTCGGGGCATTCCACTCAGGTGTTCACGAGAAATGGATTCCTCAACAGTGACGTGTTACCGACAGGTCTCAAGGGCGAGTCAGTTAAAGTGGAAGAGCACGATGTTTTGCAGGCTCCTGCACTGACCCAAAACAACATTCATGTCAAGGAGGAAAAACAGAGCTTCTCCTCTTCAAAAACAGCAGAGGCTGAAAATGACAGTCGGCTTCCTGCGTCAATACCTTCCACGTGTGAGGAACCTGAACCTACTTCTCAGTCAGAGACACCTGCAACTGTAGATCGTCGACCGCAAGCGGATCAGAACAAGCAGGACCTCCCCTCAAAGTTCTTGACCATCTCACTGAAACGGGTTCAGGTTGGAGTGTGGAAAAAAAGCAGGAAGGGACTGAAAGTTAGAGTATCCAGGTACAAACCTCGGGTCCCTGTGGGCAGTCTGAATGACTATATCGTTATCTACCCCATGCCGCTGAAGGAGGACCAGCTGGTGAAACGGCCCGGTCCGAACCAGCCTGTGGTAGTTCTCAATCATCCTAAACCTCGAGCCTCCATACAGAAAATGAGAGAAGACTCTTTTGCTGACATGGAATCCTCTGAAGCGGTTCCAAAGTGCCAAATTTTGAAAATGAGGCTCAGTAAAGTGATGGGACAGAAGTACGAGGTGATGGGATGCACTGTCCGAGTCTTTCCATGAATGTATTGTTTACCAGAGGTCAAGAGTGTACATTTATGCTAAAAGAAGTAGTGTTGCTTTCAAAAGCTTTCAGAAATAATGAGACAATTATTATTTTTAAAGAAATGTAAGAATAAAAACAATACGGACATTAACAACATTGTATATTCCATGAATGTAAACTAGTTTAGCACACAGAATCCAGGCTCTGGTTGTAAATTTTGGTAATACACAGCTTTTAAATACTGTATAATAGCATGTGTTTCATTCAAAAGGGTTAGATTTAATTTACATTTCTGTAACTGATCTGGAGCATTCATGCAGCAGTATGTTAGTACCCGATGGGCAAAACCAGATGATTCAGCATAATTATTATTCAAAATCCCTTAAGATCCCCAAAACGGCTCAAGTTTAAACAACAAAAATCACACTCCAGGTATTTTAATATTACAGTACTGACAGTATTCCTAGCTTTAGACGTGATGTCATCACATTGGCATTTGAGTCATCTCACTTTGTGAGTTTCATTCAAAACTCCACAATTTGAACCCGGTGACCTGGGATTAGTCTAAAAAAAGGCCCACACAGATAGAAAACTTCCCACATGTTGCCAATTAGATCACATTGGTTTATTGTGTGTGTGTGTGTGTGTGCGTGTGTGTGTGTGTGTGTGTGTGTGTGTGTGTGTAGCAGCTTATTGGACTGTGTTGTGTTCAGGCGCATCATGTAAACCTCTTATCATAGAGAGCTTACATTTTTCACATAAGCGGGTTCATTTATAGAAATGCACCACAGTGTAACAGCTGCTGTAAGGTGTGAATAATGGGTTTAGACACTCCTCTGTTTGCTTTTTACTATTATTTTGTCACTTTTGCATACTTTCACATTGCTGTGTGTAACTGGTACAAGTTCTGAAGGTTTCTGTCAATTGAAGTATGAAGAGAAACTCCGTTGTTTGAACTTGAGTTTTATGGAGTTTCAGTACTGTTATTACTCTGTTACATCTGTTGGTTGCCCGGAATATTTTCGTTGTTGCCGGTTGACTGAATCCACGCTAATAACTTTAAATTAAAAACTAAATGTTAGACTGAGTTACATAGTGGCAGGGTATCCGCGGGTCCTTAAATAGTCTTAAATTGGCTTTTCCAAATTTAAGGCCTTAAAAATCCTTAAAAATGACAAATAATCCTTAAATACAGTTTCCAAAGGTCTTAAATGACCAAAGATCCAATAAACAAGATTCTTTTATTTCTATAAAATTTTCGTGAATTTCTAGTTAGTGTTCAGCATTTTTTGTGTACGATGTTGGTGTAAGCAGAACCGTACACATTCAGTTGGTTGTGAAAGGGGGCTATTTTTACATGAGCACATTAGCTGGTTAAGCTAGTGGGCGCTTGCGCCATGGGGAAGTGCAAGTTTAACTGGATGGCTAATCCCACGTTTGCGAAGCGGTTAGCACCAGTTCCAGGCAATAGCTGGAAATTATAGCTTAAATTTGGTCAAAGTGGCCTTAAAAAAGGTCTTAAAAAGTCTTAAATATGGCTCCCTTAAACCTGCAGATACCCTGAGTGGGAGCAGTGGAAATCTGATCCAAATGGTGACTTTGCTTGGAGCAACCAAGTTAAAGGGAAATTTCTAATCATATGTTTTCATATAATTGTCTTATTTTGTAATTTTGTTTGAATCACTGTACAACTTTGTTTTGTAATTATTGGATTATCATTCATTGGATTGCATTTAAATGATTCGACCTTTGAGCTATAGATATTATTTAGAAAGTCATCTTTTACCTTAAATGCGTCACCTTGCGTTGACGTTCTACTGTCAGTCCAAACACAACAAAGTGTAGCTTAAAAAACAAATAAGTTTGTTACTGAGCAATCTCAAGTGGTATATATTTTTTTAAAGGCTCTACGTGTCAGTATCGAGTTACCCTTGTACTTTGCAGAATCTTTTCCCATGGCAGCGCTACAACAGCACGGTGTCCTTGTTAATAATATAATCATGTTGTAAATGGTGCTAGACCTATCATTAGTAGGTTTTGGTTGCCTACAGACTTGATGTACTCACTTTGATCATGTTCAGATTTTATTGTGTGTATATACCTATAAATAGAATTAACTGGCGTCATCCCAGCCACCTTTAAAACTGCAGTATCTGAAGCTGCTGTGCAGTCCCTGTTACATATTATTATTTTAAAGTATTGGAACATTTTGTCTGGCCTTTTAGTTACTATGTTCTTTTGTGAGAGAGTCATCTTGTCAATATAGTTTTAGGTTTTTATTACATTTTCAGTGTTAATTATGGTGTTCCATGCTTTTATAACAATTGTGTAACGTCTTTTTTCTATTAAAAACAAGGTCAAAACATCAATATCTTGGTTTGGTTTCCTTTATTTATCAAGTGTTATTTTCATTCACATAGGTAGTGAAAAAATATCTAAATATATAATATATGGCATCACCTGTCCTGAGCATGTTCCTCACATTAAGCTTCTTGTGGTACTGAGCAATTATGTGCATGTGAAACTTAAGACATTAGAATATGATGCAAAAGTTCATTTATTTCAGTAACTCAACTTTAAAGGTGAAACTAATATATGAGATAGATTTATTACATGCAAAGCCACATTTTTCAAGTCTATTTGTTATAATAGTGATGATTATGGCTTACAGCTGATGAAAACCCCACAATCAAAGTCTCAGACAATTAGAATAATGTGAAAGAGTTCAATAATTTAGACTCAAAAGTGTCGCAATCTAAGCTAATGAATCCAGAACACCTGCAAAAAGTTCCTGGGCCTTTAGATGTTCTCTTGGTCTAAGCTGAATTATGTTTATGTATTTAGCAGATGCTTTTGTCCGAAGCGACTTACAAGTGATAATCGACATGTTGCCCTTGAAGCTAACAACAACAACAAACAATTTCCATTCAGTCGTAGGTGGCAGTGAAGCAGCATGATTAATCATGGAGTGGATGGTTGAGAGGGGGGACGGATGCAGGGAAGGTGCTAACTAAGAAGATGCTCTCTGAAGAGCAGGGTCTTCAGGAGTTTCTTGAAAATTGAAAAGGAAACCGCTGTTCTGGTAGTGCTTGGAAGGTCATTCCACATTTATGGAACGATGCATGAGAAGAGTCTGGATTGTCCTGAGCGTGGTGTAGGCACTGCTAGCCGACGAGCCTGTGATGACCGGAGCGGCCGGGCCGAGACGTAAGCCTTTGCAAGAGGATTCAGGTAAATGGGAGCCGTACCATCTCGGACTTTGTATGCTAGTGTTAGCAGTTTGAATTTGATGCGTACTGCTAGCGGTAGCCAGTGGAGCTCAATGAACAGAGGGGTGACGTGTGCTCTCTTTGGCTGATTGAAGACCAGACGCTGGACTATTTGAAGAGGTCTCACAGTACAGCCTGGAAGACCAGTTAGAAGGGCATTGCAGTAATCGAGGCGGGAGATGACAGTAGATTGCACCAGGAGCTGGGTGGCATGTTATGTTAGGTATGGTCTGATCTTTCCTATGTTATACAGCGCAAAGCGGCATGAACGAGCAACAGAGGTAACATGATCTTTAAAGGTCAGGTGTTCATCAGTCACAACACCCAGATTTCAAACTGCCTGAAGGAGCCAGAGACAGGAAGATAGGAATTAATGAATTTCTGTTGTTTTTCAAATTTAACAAAAATACATTCTGAGTGAAGACAAGCACACTCAGAATGAGGACATCTTAGCTATATTTTCCACAAAAGTGTAGAGGATTCTTATGGATTAAAAAAACTGTTCTGAACTAATAAGGTAGGTTTTACTAAATCAAATTAAAGATGTACTTTTCTGAATTAACGAGCTAATAAAGAGTAAATAAAAACGATTCATTCTGTTTTTATTTGATAATGTTCTGTGCCTGCTGACAGTATTCCCTGAGACAGGCCCAGAAAACCTCACCTGGGAGGTGTCCAGGAGGCATTCAAACTAGATGCCTGAGCCACCTCAACTGGCTCCTCTTGATGCGGAGGAGCAGCGGTTCTACTCTGAGTCCCTCCCAGACGACCAAGCTTCTCACCTTATCTCTAATGCCGAGCGGACACTGTGTGACTTTTTCACTCGTAGCGTTCAGCTTCAGCTTAAACTGTACGACTTCCCTGCAGAGCAAATCTCATGAGCCATGTGCTCACACTGTACGACCCAGTTTTAGGGTATGACCTGACTGCTCACACTGTACGTCTGGTAGCAACACGTCCACAAAATATGCTACAAATAGCAGTTTTTACACAATATGCCAGACTTTTTTTTGTTGATAGTGATGTCCGTTGTCCTTTGGGAGTGCTGCAGGAGGACACACAGGGATTTATGGCGGTTGGAGGAGGAAGACGAAAGAAAGAAAGAAAGAAAGAAAATCAATGTTTCATCAATTTCATTTCACATAAACACGCCTTCTTGACAATCCTTGTCATTGTGTGCAAAAAAAAGTGTGTTGGTAGGAAAATAGCTGGCGAGCCTTGTTGACGCATGTTTTCGCATACACGGTTAACTGTTCTGGTACTCTTTGGGTTGCAGCTGCTCACAGCGTCGCTTCAACAGTGCGACACCCTTAGAATGGACGAGCAAAATATCAAAAACGCCAGAAATTTGTGCAAGCTCACGATTGCTGATTGATAGCTGGTCACGTGGTGTTATTGCCTCTCATAACCCCTTGTATTGGAGGATCTTTTGTGACATCAGTATTTATGTTTCTCGCATTGCATCCTGGGACCTAGGTGGCAAGAAACAACACATTTTTCCTATAATTTGGTTGTTTTGCATGTGTGGAGGAGGATTCAATGAAGCAGATGGACCATTCTTGCTGTGTATTGTTCGGTCTGTGGGAGGCTTGAAGATTTATTGGGATTTCCTCAGTAAATGACTGCGGAATATGAAAGAGATGATAGGAAATGACCTAAACTCCCTGAAGAAAGCCTGCAGTCCTGCAGCAACAGACAGTTAGTGAGGCTCATTTTGTTCATGGTATTTGTTAGAGAAGATGTTTTTTAAAACATTCATCTTTGTGTATTTTTAAATACAGAGTCATGTTGTTTTCGCATTTTGATTCAGGTGTCTCAGTCTGCGATCATTATAATAATAATGAATAAATAATACAGATTAATGGAGTCTTACCCAGCTTTGCAGTCGCTGTGAGTAAAATAATGACAAAAGTACATGTACATACACACAGACAGTCATCTAGTATTATATCTTTCAACCACTAAAAGTCACAAATAAAAATGAAGAACTTGGGTTCCAACACTAAGCAGCATACCGTAAGGGACACATACACACTATGTAAATCCGGTATTGCAAAAGTATTGCACACATAGTATTGCATTGGTGTTATTGTGTACCAGTAACATCAACATCAGTAAGCTAGCTAACACAAACATTTTGTAAATACTGCTTTCTATGAACCCAGCTAGGTTTTGCTAAATCTATCCAAAAGTTAACTGGTGGCCTGCCTTTTTTCAGGGTGCAATAAGACTGTTTTTCAGCCCTCTTTCTGAGGTGGTCTGCTTCAGGCCGACCAGGGCCAACACACCCACTGCTGACGGCAAATTCACACCTTCCATTACAGCAAGCCTCTGATTGGTGGGTAGAATCAGCCCACATGGGCTTAAGGCATGCTCAATTCATTATCATTCATTATCATGCTGATTACCTAGAAGCTGAAAATGTATCTGACTGCATTCCTTGCATACCTAAGCAAGGATGTGTGGAATCAACCGGGCCAGGCTGGGGCCGACTGGAGCTATCCGGGCAGGGCCGACCAGGTACAGATGGGAATGGCCCATTACGACCCAGTAATAGGTCTCCCAGTCCCTCCTGGGGTCTGGTGCCCTATCTCTTTGTGCACTTTGACCTGGGCCACCATTAATTCATGTAATGCGCTAGTGGTCTTCGCTACTGAGTTCAAAAGGGTAACTTCTCATGCAGCTTTTAAACATGTATTTTACTTTAACCTTAAGGTGTGACCACCAACTTTAATAAAAAATATGCCAAAGGCATTTTAATATATATGTGAAGCATCAGTTGTCAAATCATGGTGAGTAAATAAATGGTTTCATTATATAGCATGCACGATTAAGCATTCTTTATTCAGTTATATAAAGTAGGAGAATCAAGAATAAGAGGCCTTTAATACTTATTAAATGATTGAGTCACAGAGTCAGTATTCTTTATTGCAATGTGTAATTGCGAAATCAGCAAAAGTGATTATAAAATACTCAAAAGTGATTATAAGATATCAGATAACTATTCTATATCCTTGTGTGATTATCTGAGCCTTAAGCTGAGTGCTAGCAGGGGATATAACCTAACAGTATGTAAATATGATTGATGCCTCACTGCCTCCAGAGCCAAACAGGCTATGTAATTGAGTTGAGACTGTTTTTAATGACCAACACAGAGGAGAAGAACTCAGTGTGTTGAGATACTAAAGATGTGAATGAAACCTACCTTTGTGTCCTCCTTGACTCCTCCACAATATCACATTTTTGTGGACCATGATGACTTCACTTGATGATGTTGACCCTTGCCTTGAAAAGTTTGCATGCTCTACCTCACAGGTGTTAAACTCAGGCTCAGTCTGAATTCTGAGCTGCCCCACCTTGGGGAGTCTCAGCATACCGCTCTCCACGGTGCTGAACTATTGAGTAGGTTGGAGTAGAGCAGAGTATGGCAGGCACTGTCCAGGGTCCTGAACAAGGAGAGGCTGCCAGAGTGTTTAAGCTGAGTTCCAGAATAGGGGTTGGCCGATAATCGGGCTGACATTTAGCTATTTTTTCATCGTCGGCATCGGCCGATAAGTCTATTTAGTAGAGCATTTAAAGTCGGGCACCTTCGCGGACAGCCTGCTGCTGCTGGAAGCCGGTGAAGGACCCCATGTCACGTTAAGAGCAGGAGGAGGTTAGGACCCAAGATGGAGACACCAGAATGACACGAGGCAGGAGCGGTTGTACAAAAGTAAAATCCTTTATTTAGGATGATAATCAAAAAAATTTAAAAAAAAAGTCCAAAGGGGGCAGAAAGCTAAGCCTATTATCAAAAATCCTGAAAAAACCAAAAGCTCTCTTTCTGAGCAAAAACCTAGAGACCTAGTGGGGGTACAAAACAACAATGGACCGACAGAACACTGTGAGCAGACAGGGTTATATACACAGGGGCTGGGTGATTGGGAGACGAGGAGCAGGTGCGTGGAGAGAGAGAACTGAGGAGAGACTGGTGAGATCAGTTAACTAAATGGGAAGGGAAAACCAAGCAGAGGAGGGATTCAATGTAAAGTTTCCTCTGATCCTTTTATTGATGAGTAATACTCCGGTTTGGTATGTGGCGGCAATGCCCCGAAACTGGT